GTTTGTCAAACACACTGTATACTTTCTTTCGAGCACTAGTTCATATTTGTGCGCTGTTTAATATTCCTATGAATCTTCTCGTCTCGATTAAGAGATCGTGTAGGGTAGATCTGAAGAACGCAAGGTCAATTCGAAAAAGTTTTAGTTTCACATATTCAGGGGTTATAATAAGTTTCTATCGACACCTTAATATTCTAAATTGTCCCTTTTGCAAATAATAGATCAATAACAATATTGCATCAGTATCAGTATGCAATGTCAATATGTAATACCGCTTCCCTCAGACAGAAAATCTTTCGAAATTCATGGAATCTTAATTTTGATTTCAGTCTGACAGTTTGACTCCACGCCTCGACAGCAAGCAACGAAAACATACATTACTGGATTGCAAGCCACCCCGTCTTCTACCAAGGCCGATAATTGTGAGCACGCGAAGACGATACAACACTAAATGTTATATTTATTGAATTTGTCTAATTCCTATTTGATTTGAATGTATTTTGAAATATTCTCGAGGCTAGTTCATGACTTTTAGCATGTTTTGCTTCAATGTGTATAAGATGCGTTTCGTGTTTTCGGTTTCAGTAATGATAGGTAGAATTGAAACAATTTTGATGTTTTAATAATCTGCACTATTTTGCCTTATTAAATCGTTTAGAAAGAATTAAAAAAAAAGGTTTTGATTTTGCGTCTCATCATATATACATAATTGTTCTTCGTGTTGTTTTTCAAGTTAGCAAATCGCCAGTTAAGCTACGCCCACACCTGTCAAGTGTAACAAATGATATCATTTGCAAACCCTATAGAAATTATATTTTAAACAAAGATGTATACTTTCATGCAAACTATTCTAGACAACCATCTTAACAAGACCTTAACAAGACCGCTCGTGATTCTTTCACCCTTTCGATGATATAACGATCCAGTTTGTGTTTATATACTCGTTATTTTGAGAAGTTAAGGATTTTAGTGTCTTTCATCATCTACCCAAAACGTATGACGGAAGTAAAACCTGATAATAGTAAGAAGAAAATAAGATAGTGAGAAGTTTGTGGCAGCTTTGAGGGTTTTTTTTATTTGAAATTTGGCTGCTACTTGTTTAACGATTTACCGATTTCTACTTTGAGGTTACTTGTACATGCTGGCTTCCTTTCTTAAAACAAATAACATTTATTTCTTGTGGTGAGTTGACGAAGACGCTGGATAAATGGTAGAAGGGTAGAAGGAACCCTAAATACCTTCTACGTGAAATGCGTGGTTAACGACAACCGGCCGTGTAGAAAGTATACGATCGTTACCATTTTTGCAGACGTGACTTAATTCATGTTTCGTGGTCAGTTTATACCAGTTCTAGTTTGTATCCCCACCATTGTCGCCATTCATTTGATCTCATAACGACCGATAATGCCAGTTAACATTTCTCAACGCAGGCAATAGGTGGGTTTGTTCTTTTGAAAAAACAAATTTATTAAACTTTCGAAAGTTTGTAGTAATGATGACGTGCCTTTACGATGCTGGAATATCTCTACTCCTAACCTTATTGCTATTACTTTGTGGTGATATCCATCCCAACCCAGGACCAACGTGTTATACTGATCTTAAAATTATCCATTTAAATGCATGTAGTGTTAAAGATAAAATTGAACTCATAGGTCTAGAACTAAACGAATATGACGTTATCTGTTTGACAGAAACCTGGCTCAATGAAGGTATTTTAGATAGTAATATTTTTATTCCAGGCTTTCAGTGTCCCTTTAGAAAAGATTAGACTTACATGGGGTGGTGGGGTCGCTGTCTACGTTAAGAACACATTCATCGCCAAACGAGTAGAAATCTTAGATACGATTGGTCTGGAAGCATTATAGATAGATCTCCGCTACAATAGCAGGAAATATCTAGTGGGTGTATTCTATCGAGCAGACAAAAGTGAGCAGTATTGGAACCTGTTAGATCAATCGATTGGAGATGCAATGGATATGGATTTAGATACAATCATTGTTGGAGATTTTAACATTGATATTTACAACAAATGAGACGCTAAAATAAACAATCTTATGGTGGCTTACGGTTTGCATCAACATATAAACTCACCAACCAGAGTCACCCAAAACAGTAGAACCCTTATTGATTTGATATTTGTTTCTCGTCTCGATATGGTAAAAGAGTCAAATGTTTTAGAACCTTTTTGTAGCGATCATTGTCCAGTATCCGTAACAGTAAAAGAATGTATGAAGTCAACGAAAATATATCTGAGAAAAGTTTACGATTACACATTGGTAAACAAAGGCGATATTCTGCTTCCACGTTGATAATACTGATTGGGAAAACGTACTGTCATCACCTGACATAAATGTGAGCATTGGTGGTGTATTTAAAACCTTATCTCATATCTGCGATTCCAATATACCAAACAAAAATTGTTAAGCAATAAGATGTAAAGATACTCCTGGATGAATAATAACATTCGCAAACTCATGCGGAAACGAAATCGACAACATAAAATAGCGAAACACAAAAATGGTGAAAATGACTGGGCTACTTTAGATCACACAAGAAATCAAGTGACTTCTGCAGTTAGAAAAGCCAAGAAAGATTTTACAACAAAATTAGACACTCAAACAAACAATGATCATAGCACTAAACCATGGTGGCGTTTAGTTAAAAAACTATATGAACAGAAAATCTGAAAGTACCTCCTTTTCCTCCTATTACCCACAATAACGAAGTCTATCAAGAAACCAGAATCATTAGCAAACGTTTTAAATAATTACTGTATTGGACTAGGCAACAATCGCCGACCCTAATAAGGATCTTCCAAATATGACCTTAAACAATAATAGTAAATATATGAGGAAGTTATATCTTACAAAGCAGGATGTTGAAGATGTTCTATCATCGCTAAACATTACCGAAGCGAGTGGACCAGATGGTATTGGAAACCGCTTCCTACGTTTGGTATCCCCTTCCTTGTCACTAGCATTAACTAAACTCTTTAACAAGTCACTTCAAACATCAGTTTTCCCAGACATATGGAAAGAATCATCAGTTATACCAATCCACAAGAGAAAGGTAATATAAACGACTGTTCGAACTATAGACCTGTTGCCTTAAAAATCTTGTTTATCCAAGGTCTTTGAAAATGTATATTTAAATATGTCTTTAACTTCATGAGAGATAACAATTGCCTCTCAAATTTACAATCTGGATTCATGCCAGGAGATTCAACAGCTTACCAACTCACGCATTTGTATAATTTTATTGCTAAAGCTATAGACAACGGAAAAGAAGTAAGAGCTGTATTCTGCGATATAAGCAAGTCATTTGATAAAGTTTGGCACAAAGGGATTATCCATAAACTAAAATCATGTGGGATAGATGGGAAGTTACTGAAATGGTTTGGAAGTAATTTGCAAAATAGAATGCAAAGAGTAGTTATCCAAGGTTACAAATCAGAATTAAAACCGATAATAGCCGAGTGCCCCCAAGGATCAGTCCTGACCTCTTTATTCTTGATATACACAAACGACATAGTTGATGGAATCGAAAGTAATATACGCCTTTTGCAGACATTACCACCACCTCTATGTAATAATCGACGATCCCCATACGAGTGCATTCATTCTTAACTCAGATTTAGACAGAATATCTAAATGGGCGGAAACCTGGCAATTAAAATTTGATCCTAACAAAACTGAAACTATCCAGTTTTCACACAAAACGAAACCTTCTACGAAACCTCCCCTCTCGATGAATGGTACACCTATAAATGAAGTGCAGACTCATAAACACCTAGGCATTATTTTTCAGGAAAACCTCCTCTGGCATTCCCACATTAATGACATGATAAGAAAAATTAGCCCTATGATTAATTGCCTTCGTAGTTTTAAATATAGACTATCACGCAAAACTCTCGAAACAATGTATAAATCCTTTATCTTACCTCTATTTGACTATTGCTGTCATCTCTGACACAATTGTACAAACGAACAGTCCTTGTCACTAGAAAACCTTCACTTGGATGCCTAACGCACAATATGCGGTGCAGTTAGAGGTACAAGCCATGCGAAACTATATCATGAAACAAACCTGACTTCCTTATCGAAACGGAGAGAAACTTCTAAATTAACATTATTTTACAAAATGGTAAACCACATGGTTCCTGACTATCTTTGTGATCTTGCTCCAGGGAATGTTTCTGATAACAGTAACTACAATCTTATGAATAATGAAAATTATCAGATTATAAGATGCAAATCTACTAATTATGCCAAATCGTTTTTACCCGATACAATTAAACTGTGGAATGACCTACCTACAAATGCTACAAACGCTTCCTCTGTTGGACAGTTTAAGAATTCAATCACACCACAAGTTAATACCAACACAATGTTCGATCTAAATTTTGGTAGTCGATTTTGTCAAATAATACACTGCCGCCTTAGATTGGGATGCAGTGACTTAAACAGTGATAAGTATAATCGTTTCATTTCTGATAATGCTTCTTGTTCCTGCTCACAAGATTATGAGGATGTATTCCACTATTTTTTCATGTGTCCTAAATATAATACCATTCGATACGAATCGTATTTCTATGTGAAAGGTTTCACCCTGCGGGATGTGCTAAATAGCAATAACTCAGTGCCTCATCAGACGAATATGGATATTCTACGTTCAGTCTATCAATTCATTATTACATCAAAACGTTTTGATTCATAAAGTTTGGTAGCCTTTCTTATTTTTTTATTTGTATCAGCTGGCCACGAAACAAAACCAAGATAAATTGTTGATATCCATGATTGTTATTATTCAGAGATAACTTGTTATAACCACTATAAATATGTATTATGCACAAATGTGAACCTTCACGTGTATTATGGAGCGGCATTAATATAAGCCATTTAGGCTTGTTTGCCAATCCTTTTCTTTCTTCTTGAATAGGATAAAATATGTTTAAACCACGATCGTTCAGGTAAAGCATCATCCATTAAACTAGCACCTACCTGTTGGCTGTCAGAGAGAACCATGGCAACACAACCAATGAACACAGCTACTTTCAACATTGTTTTAGTTATATTCTCCAGCTCTGCCAGACGTTATCTCTCCACAGCAAATGTAACTCTGAAACACCGGCTCTCGTCAACACCGGTCAGACAGAACTAATAAACCTCCGCCTACATAGAATAGCTTGTGTTTCAAACAACGTCAATCATAATTTGCAACTTCCTATCAAAATGTAGGAAATCAGTGTAATTTACATTAAATAAAGGATAATGACTGACAGCGGCCATTAGGGTGTGTTGAGAACCTGAGAACCTGAAAGGTCAGCGCAGTCACCATGCAACGCTCTGAACAACAAGCCTCATTATTTAGGAACTTTGATAACATAACACTATTGTGGAATAAAAACGATTTGAAAAAAAATATCTGAATGCGTATGTTGCATTAAATATTTTCACCTTTATTTTAAACCTTGTTACGGTGTCATACCGTATTTCGTGATGATTTAGAGTCAATGGAATTCACTCTGACGTGTTGAAGTGTTTGATTTACTTCTTGACAATGTTCAGTTGTGTTCACATGACCTTTTGTTGTTGGAGGTCCTCATGGTGGTAAACAAGGTACAAGGTTCTGGAGTACAGACACAGTGGCATTTCGACTTGCCAGTAGGGTCATTCGACTTCCAAAAGCTCCTCAGCGGTTCAAGTCTGTCTACCCCCAAATGGGTAAATCTGACTCTCCCTGCCCCTCATCTTGCATCCATCCAAAATTCAGAACCCCAATATTCACCATGGACTCCACATACATACTAGTAAGCCTGAAACTCACTGAAACGTGACTTTCGAATCCTCGATAGTCGACTTGTCAGATCTAAAGGCCGACTTTCTATACTTAATGATCCACAGTGACTTCCCATATCCAGTGACCGACACAAGCTTGCCATATCCAATGACCACTGATCCACAAAGGCTTCTCACACCCATTGATCCAAACTGGCTTCTCACATCCTTTTATCCACACTGATTTCCCATACCCATTGATCCACACTGGCTTCTCACACCCAGTGATTCACACTAGCTTCTCACACTTATTGCTCCACACTGGTTTCTCACACCAATTGCTCATCACTGGCTTCTCACATAATTTTATCCACACTGGCTTCTCACACCCACTGATCCACACTGGCTTCTCACACCCCTTGATCCACACTAGCTTCTCACATCCAGTGACCAACACTGGCTTCCCACACCCCTTGGTCCACACTGGCTTCTCACACCTAGTGACAAACACTGGCTTCTCACACCCCTTGATCCACACTGACTTCTCACACCCCTTGATCCACACTGGCTTCTCACACCCAGTGACCAACACTGGCTTCTCACACCCCTTGATCCACACTGGCTTCTCACACCCAGTGATCAACACTGGCTTCTCACACCCCTTGATCCACACTGACTTCTCACACCCCTTGATCCACACTGGCTTCTCACACCCAGTTACCAACACTGGCTTCCCAAATCAAGTGGAACAGATGGGACTAACATAGGCTGAACATGCGAACCCCCTAAACGAAATATTTACATCCACCTTAAGATAACTATTTCCACCACATACATTACCGACCTCATTTCACCTCATCGAATCTCCTCCACACAGTTGTCAACAATCACATCACAATATTCTACATCATTAAACTTGCAACGCCTGTCCAGCATGTCTGGAAGCATATTTGCAACATGTATATTATCCTTAACGACTATTACCACATGATCATTTTGTAAGCGTAATTCGAGCCCCTACATTCCTGACCAATCATATAGATAACGTGGGGAGCACTGTGTGACTGGAGGGATGCTCCTGCGGCCGGGGATGCTGCAACCGGATGCCATTTATGTCGCACTGATGCCGTTCATGATACATTTTGTAAATTGTGACTGCGAGCACACAGATATGTGTCCAAATAAACCAAAGAAAAGCAGACCCTCCGTTAATCATCATACAAAAATGTCATGTAAAGTTTTGATATCGTGTTCCATACAATGAGAGTAAGTTAGACAGAATAATGGCAAACAACCTCATTCTTTAAAACATTGCAATCAGGTCATCCTGGGATGCTTGGGGTATGAGGCTATAATAATTTTACTGATGGGGGGTCGTGGGTTTCGACTGCGCATCCGCAGGGTTGTGTGAGGGTGATTTGTTCAACAGTCAATCACTTCCAGGTAACTTTATCTAAAATCATGTCTGCTCTCACAAAGACATGTAATGAATAAACAAATTCGCAGAGACGGCCAATATCCAATTTTGAATGATGTGTGGATTATGTCACGTGTTTCACAAGACAAATAATGAGAGGAGCCATGGTCCGACGTGCCGCTGAATTAACGAGGCGTGGGCTGGGTCATTTTCGTCACTCACCGGTCATCTGAGATAACTGAAAAGTGTTTACTCATAATGTGTTCAATATGTTTTACCGAGCATGTTCACGGAAGAAATAAAGAATAATGAAATTAATGAAATAGAAACAAACGGAAACAAAGTCTATATTATTTGGTTTCATTACCAGTCACTTTGGGCTAAGAATGGATAGATCGGGATCGTCGTGCATTTGGACAGTATCAAGGTCGTAGACTGATCTTGGGGTGGCCGTGACGCAGTTGGCGGGGGGCCTTTAATTGACACTTATATCCCGAAACTTTTAATACATGACACCCACTTAAAAAACTGCAATGTTATGTGGGGCACACTGCATTGAGCTCTCAGCACATGACACCCACTCACAATACCGCTATGTTATGTGGGGCACATTGCCTTGAGCTCTCAGCACATGACACCCACTCACAATACCTCTATGTTATGTGGGACACACTGCATTGAGGTCTCAGCACATGACAACCACTCACTTTACCGTTACGTAATGTGTAGCACAATGCATTAAGCTCTCAGCACATGACACCCACTCACTATACCGCTATGTCATGTGGGACACTCTGCATTGAGCTCTCAGCACAGGACACCTACTCACTATACCGCAATGTTATGTGGGGCACACTGCATTGAGCTCTCAGCACATGATGCACACTCACAATACCGACATGTTATGTGGGGCACACTGCATTGAGCTCTCAGCACATGATGCACACTCACAATACCGACATGTTATGTGGGGCACACTGCATTGAGATCTCAGCACATGACACCCACTCACTATACAGCTGTCTTATGGGGGACACACACTTCGGAATCCTAAGCACTTGACTCACACTCACTAACTATTCCGCTATTTCATGTAGGACGAAGTGCGCGGAACACTCAAGATATTACACACATCACCTTACTGATATTTCATGTAGGACACACTGCAGAAATCACTATAGACCTTGTGTGTGAACCACTGGACCCGTCTTCGTATTCTGTCTCTATGTCGTTTGATATTCCTCACAAGTTTCCTCTTTACATCAAGACTTTGGTTGTCCGCTTTTGTTTATACCCTCACTTAATGGTATTCCAACTACATGAAAAGAGCCTGTACATCGTCGAGACAATACAGTGATTGATATGGTGAGCACCGACTCACTGGGTCACGATGACATCCAACCAATCACCAAGTCTGACCACACGATCCATTAAGCCTCCTATTACGACCAGCTCAAACCCCGAATACCCAACTGTGTGAGGACATACATATAGTGTAATGATTTCACGGTTACAGCCAACTGTTTTTAATCCGTTTGTAACTATGCTTATGACGATCGTGAAGTTATTTTAGAGAAATATATCTTATAACGACCACGACAGGCATTCTGTCGGTAGGTGCACCGGACGGAAGGGTCACGTTTCCCAGTGTTGCTCTCTTAGTTCAAGTGGCGATGCTCGAGTTACCGAGAGAGCGCACAGGAAATCTCGAACGAGACCTCTTGACGGTTGCCGCAGAAAGACAGAGTTGACCCTGACATTGTCAAGCGTAGGACGTATGTCTTTGCAGAAGTGTTTGACACTGGTCAGTTCTATTTCCCTGAACGGCTGGTGGTGATGAGGTATTTCGCATGACATCTAGTCAAGTCTCCATCAGTGCACAATACTGACAAAATACTCTGCAAGATGTCGAATTCTAACTGACGTCATTTCGAGGATTGGATGTTTCAGTGCATTTGTTTCTAATACACCAGAGGCTTCACCTTCATTATGCAGTGGCCAGTGTGGCTGGTACTTATTGCTGTAAGCTGTTCATTAGGATCTTGTCAAGGTAAGACCCATGCAGCATTACAGTAAACATTTTACATTCCGAGCGTAACGTGAATACCAAAATCCACAATGTCGTTTCATACAATGCATACAAAAGCTAGGATATAAATGAATAGTATATTGCATAATAACCTTTGGAAATGTGTTTAACTTTGCCAGATGTGGGACCTCTGATTAAGGCTGGTCAGAATGTCAAGGGTACGGCACAATTTGAAACAGTCACGTTGTAGTTCTGAGCATGCCATAGTTATTCCTGCTGGGAAGCAGAGAAAACAAAACAAGTACAATTAATTGCTTGTTAATCGTTTTTACAGCTAGATATATATACCGATTTACTGCCAAGAACGTTCAGTCTTCCTCTGAACTTCAAATACGCCAAAATGGCGTCGCGGGACATAGCTGTCAAACGTCACTTCCGGGTTGTCAACTGTCGTGTTTCCGGTTCGCGTCATGTCGATAATTATATGTATAATGGGTATCGGGCTCAATTATTGACTCTGGACATCGTCGTAGCGGTATTTGCAATCACACGCACAGGTTTCCGAGTTTCCGACATGTCAGTCATTTTGTAACCATATTTTCCAGTACAGCCAGAACATAATCGCATTTGGCAGTCTCCTCTTTCACCGTCAATATACACATGTTTTGTACACACTGACATTAAAAAAAAACGTGTGCTCGTCACAGTTGTGTTACATCTGGGGGTAGTTTGACCTGCACGCATCCAGTGGGTTTGAATGTTACTGTGCGCATCACATGTATGCATCAAGATGATATTGTCTGTGTGTATGTGACTTCGGCATTGCGTACTGGGACGGGTTTGGATTACTGGCTGCTACCACAGAACTAGTGAAACGGTCGTTTCTGGCAAATATTATTCCAGTGCCATTTTACAGGCTATATTTACGAGGGGCGTATGCAATATTTTGATCTAAATATGTCGCATTTGTATATCTTTGCTCTGAAAGCTAAGCTATGACAGTATAGCAATGTCTTTCTATTGAAAACGTTTCGCTTGTACTGGCAGTAAACCTCGAATCATTGTGGTGATAATATGTACCGATTATGCAGATGTACCCCTAGATTGGGTTGTACGTTTATGTGACAAGTATTGATAATTCACTCACATTTTGTCAGTGGTTTAGGACGAACGTCTATATGTTATTGGAAACGACGCCTAGAGATACGAAACACACGGCTGGACTTCCACACTCTTTTCTGACTTCAATACTCCATGAAGTATTCCACTTGCATATTATAGATTTCGACCACGTCTCAACCTTGCACCAGTGAAATAAATTTCATTCTAAACTTAAAACACAGGAACCTCCCTAAGAATGTGTTCATGCCTTGTAACAAAATACTATATTCTTCATAAAGATTAAAGATCACATGCAACAAAAAAATCAAACATAATCAAAACACAATCATCACTTATTCATGACATATAATATACATTGCTGATTATGAAAAAACATATAAACAAAATTATAAGCGTACAATCGCAAATCAAGTGCATTATTTTGTACTTGGGTTCACTTCCCTAGAAACGAAGCAGCCGGATACCGAACCCAGTCAGAGCGGTTGGGTGTGCACTCAAGTGTAACGGCTGGTTCATTTGCAGATGCCCTCACGGCTCATTGTGTGTGTATATGTATAGAGATGTTGGGTTTTGTAAATACATGCTCATTTTTTGTGTATAACATTTTGCAATCAACAGACATCATAACATGTCATGTCTACAAGTATGACACCTGCCTGTCTGTGTAATTACATAATGTGACAGAGACCGAACTCGGGCCATAAATCAATGCGTTTTGTTTATGGTGTATAGCCTGATAGGTGTTAAGTTCAAATTGCATGTGGTCAGTGATCGAAGTTGTCTATTGAATATTGTCATTAGCAGACAGGCAGGCAGACACATAGGTGTCAATAAAAAAACAGACATTGAGTATTGTCTGTGACAGAGGCATATCTATATCACAGTTAGAAATCCTGATCACGACGATAAAAAGGTCTTGAGTATGAGTTCACGATGTTAGCTTAACAATATTCAAAGTTGTTCTAAATTCCTCCCTCATTCTATGTTCAGGTCAGCTCAGTATCAGCGCCGACGCCATCTCCGAGACTGAGGTGTACGTCTCATGGGACACTCTAGGGGATCAGGAACTGCAGGACTTCCGACTGTCCTTCACAACCAGCCAGAGCGACCCATGGCTACTGCTTAGCGTATTCCCTGGGATCAGAGGCTTCCGGGTCATGGACCTTGACCCTGGAGAGCTCTATTACTTCCGGGCACAAGGTCAACTGGGAAATGAAAAGGCCACGGCCGTCACACATGTCAAGACTCCTCCTTATGGTATAGTTCAAACTAATCTTAACCCTTAAACTGACAAATGTTATTACCTGAGATGGAATACTGTGTATGGATGACAATAAATATTTGCTGTGAACCAGGCACAGCTCTTGCATTAAGGAAATGTATACTTCAAAACTTCTCTTCCACTACTATTATATATATTAAACAACTTTGAAATTTTCTGATTATTTTAGCAAATTCCAGCAGGCCAGCCAATGTGACTGTCAACAAGGTGACAGGGGGAGTCAAGGTACGTTGGCTAGCAGCAGATACCAAGTCTGTACTTGGCTACGTCGTGTCTTACGTGCAAGTCGACAGCAACAACGTAGCCGTCGAGCCCATGGCAAGTAAATCAGTATTTGGAAATCCAGAAGTGGTGCTGGACTTCGAGAATGGAGCACGCTACAAGGTGCAGGTACAATTTCGCACCCGTTACGGCGTGGGAGACTTCAGCCTTCCCATCTTCATCGGGGAAAAACTTCCAGGTAGGTACACCGAAACTGATTTGCAGCAGACAACCTGTTTATAATGTATGTCCTGCTTCACATTCTTCTCCCAAGTGACGCACCCCATGCGGTGTCGGTGGTCAGGCTCGCTGAATCCATTTCATCGTATTCATATTGATACTGTCGATGCTCATGATGTCAATCATTTGGTCCATCCTTATTTTAGACTGGGGCGGTGGGGTAGCCTAGTGGTTAAAACGTTCGCCCGTCACGCCGAAGACCCGGGTTCGATTCCCCACATGGGTACAATATGTGAAACCCATTTCTGGTGTCCCCCACCGTGATATTGCTGGAATATTGCTGAAAGTGGCGTAAAACCAAACTCACTCACTCACTATTTTAGACTGCCGTCATATAGCTGGATGATTGCTTAGTGCGACCTTAACCAATCAACATGCAAAGCATTCTGAATATTTCAGTAAGGAATTAACCTGTAGAGACTGACCAGATGGATTGCTCACCACTCCTCGAGTGAATATTATCAAATGCATAATAATAAGGTTTTGTTCCTCGTCATCATCACTCTAAAACATCTGACCCCTTATCATACACGACCCGTGACGGTACGGGTTAGAATATTGATCTTCAGTAACCCATGCTTGTCGTAAGAGGCAACTAACGGGATCGGGTGTTCAGGCTCGCTGACTCGATTGACACATGTCATCGATTCCCAATTGCGCAGATTTATGCTCATGCTGTTGATCACTGGATTGTCTGGTCCAGACTCGATTATTTACAGACCACCGCCATATAGCTGGAATATAGCTGAGTGTGGCGTAAAACTAAACTCTCTCACTCACTTATCATACACAGGTGATGCTTCAGATATTTATTGTTTTTTAATTAAAGTTAACCCAAAGATGAAAGGTAAACCAGGCACCAAGAAGGTAGTCGCGGGCAGTACGGTGTTCATCACATGTGCGGCCATCGCTGACCCTACCCCCATGATCACGTGGCGAAGATCGGGGCGCTTGGTGAATTTCGCGAAGAAGCGTTTCTCGGTTGCGGAGTCCCCTGGGTCGTCAACTCTGCGAATACACAGCGTCCTCCCTGAAGACAAAGGCCCCTATGTCTGTCTCGTCAACAACAAAGTCGGCAGATCCATTAAGGCAAGGGCTGTCCTCAAAGTCCATCCTGGTAAGTATCAACGGGACATTATTATTGAGATATCTCCTTATCACCGTAGTGTCGTCCATGGTGCTTCATGCAGGGACTCAAAGCGTTCATTGGTATTGATCCCAAATTGCAGAATTGGTGTCCAAAACTCAATAATTGGGCCCAAGAGAATACCTGCTCTGAATGCAGTGCTTTACCCCTTGGGGCGTTACGTAAGATTGTGGAAACAGAAGGGTCCTCCTGCTTTACCTCTAAAAGTTCAGGACAAAACTATACGTTATTACGCGTACATGAAACTGTTTCCCTAACTGAAACAAACCTACCACTGCTAGCGCTAGGATAGCTGAGCATGCGACACAGGGTTTGGATTTATACATGATTAAGGCACTTTAATTTGTAAGGTTACCAAATAATGAAATAATACCTTCTAAACATGGCTACGTCTTTCCATCGTCGGGGCCCAACCCCTGGTGGATTCCCTCTGCATTCGTTTACAGTTTCTTTCACTTTGTATTCATATTGAAGACACAAAGTGGCGAGCAGGAAATGTCCATCGGTGTGTAATAATTTGATCAGCACTACGTTAAAACACGTCTGGTTTTGTATATTAATTATCGTTTAATTTTTCTGTCAGCGAAAAAGAAAGGGTACCCGCAGATAGCCTTGCAGCCTGAGTCATCACAGTTTGAGGAAGGCGAGAACATGACCTTTAACTGCAGGGGTCAAGGTCGCGGGAAGATGAGATACGCATGGTACAGAGATGGATTACCAGTATCCGAAATGCCTCGATACGTCATTGACCCATCAGGTGAGTGAGTGAGTGAGTAATTGGCTGAGTGATTGGGTAAGTGTAAACGCAGCTTTGAAGAGTATATCACAGCCCGAGATTGGCATGTACCAATTTCCGAAATCCATGTCAATGGAGTGGACAAACCAAGGATCAGTGAAATCTGGGATTTGAACCCACTACCGTAAACATTCCTCATAGATGCACCTCCATGCAGCACTCCCGACACGACCAGGTTACACAGCCCTCTTGTTCTATTACATGTTTTATGTAATTACATTGGAAAGTAGCCAGCATGAGTATACATAGGGTCAATTGACAACGTTTTGTTCCAGGATATCTAACCATATACAGATTAACGAAGAACGACAGTGGAGACTACATCTGTGAGGTGTCCAATAACATGGGTTCTGTGTACTCAGTGGACGCGAATCTCGAGGTAATAGGTAAGGCGGTGTTCGTACAGGTTCGTAATATGCATGACGGAACGCTGTAAAACTCAATGCCTGATTGAAGGCGTCTTCCAAATGGTATGTCGTTCTTGAGATTGTTGTCACAAATACATGCGTGGTTAGACTCACTGACTTGGTTGGCACATGTCATCGTATCCCAATTGCGAAGATCGATGTTCATGTTGTTGACCACGGTTGCTGAACAATTTCTGTTCTTGGTCATATGTCAAAAGTCACGTGATGCGGCGGCCATATTGGATTAAAGATGTTTATAGGAAATTTGCAGTTTTTGTGGGTTTTTTTTGGTTCAGACTCGATTATTTTCAAACCACCGCCATGTAGCTGGAGTGCGGCGTTACAAAACAAACAAATAAACACAAACACATGCAGATTAATGGTTATTGAGAGTCCCAATTTCCTGTGGGCAGATTATCGTTCAATATTTTTCCTGACAGATCGTTCGATAATCGAGCCGGCGTCTTTCAAGCCCGCTGAGTTAGTTGCACGTGTACCGTATAGTGGCGCTGTGAACATCACGTGCGAGGCAAACGGAGATCCGGTGCCCTTTGTCAAGTGGATTCTGGTGAATGAAAAGACGACAACAACGGAACGCCAAGGTCGGTTCGTTCTGGCATTAACTAATGTCCACTCTTCTGGAAGTTACCAATGCGTTGCCACCAGTGGAGAACAAACCATCACACAGAGCTATGAAGTCATTGTTGACCTTCCTGGTATGTACAATTTATATATTTCGTGCGACATCAGTTATGCCTCACCTGTTAGTTCTCAGACTCATTGTTTATAGAAACATTTGTCACGGAGGTTCAGAAGCTCAGGCAGTAAATCACTGGAATATCTGGTACAGGGTCGATAGAATTGCAGATAACCGCCATATGGCTGGAATATTGCTGATTGTGGCATTTAACAACCAAAACGAATCTCTGCAATGGCGCGGCAGCAATACTTCTGAAAAAATATCAAATGAGAACTTCAACGTCTGAAGTAGACCGTTTGGTATCTGATTAATTGCTTAACGGATCCGCTATCCTTATATTTCGAAGCCGATGTCGAAAGATCCAGAGGCCTTTGACATCATCTGAAAAAACCCAAAATATTTGTTCCACCTAGGTTTCATCCGTCAAATGCTATCAAAACAGTTAAACCACTGTCATAATTATTGTTTTTGCCAACCAAACGAAGGTCTCATGGCACAAATGTGTTAAATACAGACCTAAAGAGATTAGCTGAATGCATTTCGTATGATTAACAATTATAGAATAATCTCTATTGATCATAAAATGTGATCTTGATGTCTTAATGTCTGTTGGTTATATCGTAATGTAGAATTAAGATACGATCATTATGTCCTAATGCATGATCAAATCTGAAAGTGTGATCTTGATATCAGAATGCGTGACCTTGTTAATTATCTAAATATGATATCAAATTGTGTGATCTCTATTCTGGTTGTTTTATTGTGATCTCCATTCTGGATGTTTTACTGTGATCTCCATTCTGGATGTTTTATTGCGATCTCCCAGCCCTGCCGCGGCCTGTCATCACTACGTCACAGAGGCTGGATGGGGGAGCAGGCTTCATCCGATGGCAAGCAGCCGAGGAAGAACAGGACACCTACCCCGGAGTCACGGGTTTCACCGTCACATACTCCCCCGTTGATGCCTCAGACAGGGCCATCGATGCCCCGAAACATTCAGTATCCCATAATGCCTCAGACAGGAAAGATCTGATGCCATGGTTACAAGGGGGATATCGGTACAAGGTCGTGGTTCAGGCTGAAGGTCAGGAGGGGTCAGGGCCGTCCAGTGAGCCAGCCTATATACCAGCAGTCGGTGAGAGCCTACGCCATTTCCCAGCAACATATTCGTAAGCATTACACAGACCGTGAGATGCGTTAATAAACCAGCACACTCCCACTGGAGATATCGAACAGTGAGATCAGGTCATATCTCCGTTGAAGTTACTTTTTCTGATCATCTGCTTGGTCGATTAACATAAGCGCTAGGGTACATGTTCAAATTTCAATGATGGGAAACTTTGTGAATTTGAGAAATAAATTATTTGTAACAGTGTGTCAAAATAATCGTCAATGTTAAAACGCGGGGTAGGGGAGGTTGGACCATTTTAAAAGAGGGCAATGCCAAAATTCCATTTCTGATACCGTAACCTAAATTGCATGTGGACATTGTTCTTGCTCTATTAGGCGACGTAACATGTAACATCATTGTCGCCTGGATCGCCTGGAGAGCATCAGTCGTCTGGAAAGTGTCTGTAACACTGATGTTTGTTACGTCAAATATTACGTCAACACGCCTCGAAGAATGTAGTGATAATACTACCTTAGTCAGCTCGAGTCGCCGTTGTATAGACTGTATGAAAGATTCATATGTACTGTACGTTTTGATTATGTCATTACCGTCAGCGTAATAACTATGCGAATATCCTCTCCTTCTTTCAGGTCAGCCCGAGATTGTCATTTCACCTCAGCCTCTTACCATCTCCAATGGAAGCATTGCCATTTTCCACTGTAAAGCCTATGGAAAACCAATTCCGCTCCTGTACTGGACAAAGGGAGGCAACCGTATTGACTATGATGATTTCCGCTTTAAAATGAAGGTGAAGGACGGTTACAGTATGCTACGGGTTGACGGCGCGGTACCTGCAGACTCCGGCACATATACTTGCATCGCCGCCAACAACATTCTGGGACTGAGCGTGTCGCAGGAAGCTACCTTGGAAGTACTTCCAAGAGAAGGTATCACTAATGGTTTTATATATATCACGAAGTAGATTGTTGGGTGTAAGTCAGTTGTATTTTCTCGTTGTTTCAAGTTTAATTAAAAAACTTAAATTTCGAGTTTTTTTAAAGAAACTTGAAGTAACTGGAAAATATTTGTAGCAAGGATAAACTATTTGAAGTAACGATAGAATGAGTGAAATATATAGGAGACATTAGCAAGAAAATACCCCCAGGCACCGACAAAATAATCGAACCAATGTGAATAGTGGCATAGTGGCAGTCATAGGCTGTCGTCAATACTAACAATACTGAAGTCAAAACGGGAGAAGGTTTCATATATTTTTCTTCACATGTAGACGTACCTGAAGGGTTCCCCGAGATCTTGGATGGTCCTCGCCAGATGAACGTCAGCGGTCAACAGTTCCTGGAGTGTGTTGTTGAGGGAAACCCGGATGTGAACATCACGTGGTACAAGGACTCGTATCCAGTGCTGGACTCCGCCAGGATACTGCAAGAACAAGGTCTGTACATATATATATATACTGTATACATTAGGCTCAGGCAATATGGGTGTATCAAGTTATCGTACACACTTCAAGCGATTTAAGTGAATGAGCGAGTGAGTTTGCAAACTGATACATCAGGGTCTATCGAGATGAGAAGAAAAGACATAAATTGACGCAGTTCGTATGCCTTCGCAATTAGGTGAAACTAATGACTACGGAATGGTGTTGCCAAACCAGGAACTATAATCAGGACGAACCGGGACTTGAACCATCGATTATAGATTTCTAGAGAGTCTAAGGGATGACACTGTTGGCTCCGTCATCTATGGCACCGCTATTCGCTAAACACTGTTGAATCCCTCTGTTAGCCAGAAACCTGTGATTGTTGTTTCGAATCCCAGTTCGCCCCAGTCATGTTGCTAATTTAGCTGGCGCCATACACGAGCTCGTGGGGTGGTGGCGCGGTGGGGTAGCCCAGTTGTTAAAGGTTTGCTCGTCACGCCGAAGGCCCATTTTCGATTTAATAGGTACAATGTGTTAAGCCCATTCCTGATGTCCAACGCTGTGCTATTGCTGGAATATTGCTAAAACCCAACTCATTCACTTATCCAACCAAAGTGGTAGATGTCGGCGTCCTGGACGCCAGGACTTGCTGGACGCCAACATGAGACTGATCCGCTGTGACATGACTGGGTCACTATTCAAAGATGCCTTTAACTCAGTTCAACTCACTCACGGTATGTGGCAATTTGAAGGTAAAAGTTGACTGTGCTTTCCGTGCTAGCTGATTGTTGTTTCCCCAATGGAATGTCAAACATCTGTGATACATGTCTGTTTACAGGACGACTCTACTTCAATGAATTGTCTCTGGTCGATGAAGGCGAATACCAGTGTCGCGGTTCAAACCAACATGGCGATGTTTTCTCCCCAAACCTGGCAGTCACAAAAAGGGGTGAGCTTATCTCCATATTTACCTCCCTTTCCACATTCCCTTATCGTATCAAAAGATCAGAGAAGCCCTGTTAATCCGAATGGTGTCGTTGCCATTCGGATAAAAGCTTTAAAAGGGCAAAGAATGTCTGCTATTTGTATTCCCCCTTAATATCTATATGCTAACGTAATTGTTGGTAAGACGGTGCTTCTGGAATATTGAGTGTCCGTGCGAACGAGGTTACACATATATCAGCTGTGAGATGAGGCAAGCGTCTGACCCAGTGTGTGGATGGATGGGATGGATTGGATTGGATGGTAGGATGGACAATTAATTTCAGACTTATAGCTGAGGCAGTCTTGACTTGCCCAGTTATATTTGAGTTGGACCCCTTTATATTTTTTCTCCAGCTCCTGGGAGACAGATCAACCGCCCGTCAGTGAAGTATGTGCGTCTGAACCCGGGTTCCAATGTGAATCTGACGTGTGCAGGGGTAGGGTCGCCCCAGGTCTCGTGGATGTCTGACGGGGAGGAGATCGACAATGGTGGCAGTCACGTTCTACAGGTGATGGAGATCCGAGAATCTCGCAACTACACATGTGTGGCTCGCACCGAAGAAGAGGAGAGTCTCGCGACATTTGTCCTCATAATGGAAGGGAAGAGTCGGGGTAAGATGAACGCGCGATAATGCAAAAATATATAATCAAAGGCAAATATATATTGGCATAACAAAAACAAAGCGATTCAGTTGTCGTAGCTGGAAGGGGCGGTGGGTTAGTCTTGTTTTTAAAAGGGTAGAAGACCCGGGTTCGATTCCCAACATGGGTACAATGTATGAAGTCCGTTTCTGGTGTCACCCGCCGTGATATTGCTGGAATATTGCTGAGAGCGGCGCAACACCATCCTCACTCACGTGGCTGGAATAACTTTACGGGGAAAGAACAGGGTGGTTTGGTAGACTGTCAGTTTTACCTGAAGTCATGGCGATGCATACTATAGAAATGATCCCTAAAAGTATGATCTGCAGGGACGTTATATGAGTCATGTAACAGAGGGGCTCAGAGAAATTGCCAGTCAGCATCGAGTGTGTTTCCCGCGCTCATTGATGCCTGAAGGACTGCCACCTTCATCTCACTACATATTGTGGAAATGCACTGAGAGTGGTATACCATATCTGAGGAAGATAAGTTGGATTACAACGTTATTGGAGGATTTGGAGTTCGACCGAGGTCAGACCAAAGCAACATAATGGAACTTCTCGCACATGACTGCAATCATCAGTTAAAACGGAAACTTGACTCTTCACTACAGACCTTCAATGCAGCCCTTCTGAAAAGACTGGCCCTGTGGCTTGGCTCCTGGTGCAGTGGCAACAGCTATGTTGGCATCGTTGGTCTGTACACGTCCTCACAGATACACCTCTGTTGCCAGAGATGACATGTGATATTTGCTCTGTTGGTCCAGTGTGATGCGCTGTTCGAAATCATATGTTTTTGCGAGGGGAGAACTAGGGTAGGCGCTACAACGGGGACGGTCGCTAACGGGGTTGTTATGTTCGTAAGGTCTCCGTTATTTGTCATTCCTGGTCAAGATAAATTGATGTGCCACTTCACGCTTCGCGGTACCATCGTTAGAATCCATACACGTACACGTCGGTTTGTACATGAAAACAATCCAAGTCACAGTGACTTTTGCCTTTGAGTATATATTAGCGTCATGACATGGTCGCTGTTTCCCTGTTGGGTGCACAGGAAGCCAGCCTATATAAGGCGCCGCAATTCAGGTTACAAGTAGCAGAGTAGCAGGTTGTGTCCAAAGAGCCGTGCAAGGAGTTGCTGATCGTTGGTCGTAATTCCAGATCTGTCCTGATTAAGACTATTGTGCGGTGTCAGCACACCCTCGTGAGTGTCACCAACATGGACAACCAGGGAGACTTGCCTCCTGTATTCACCTGACTACGCCAGACAACTGAAATAATAACAGTGCGGCGTGGACACCTGGCAGTAATCCCATTGTGTGGTCCTAGTTGGATTTGCAGCTAGGCTGTAAATGTCCGGTGAAATGCAATAGCAATGTGGTAAACTGTATGTACATACGGCAACACATATGTCAGGTACATACGGCGACACATATGTCAGGTACATACGGCGACACATATGTCAGGTACATACGGCGACACATATGTCAGGTACAAATGGCGACACATATGTCAGGTACATACGGCAACACATATGTCAGGTACACACGGCAACCAGATGTCAGGTACATACTGCAACACATATGTCAGGTACATACGGCAACACATATGTCAGGTACATACGGCAACACATATGTCAGGTACATACGGCAACACATATGTCAGGTACATACGGCAACCAGATGTCAGGTACATACGGCAACACATATGTCAGGTACATACGGCGACACATATGTCAGGTACATACGGCGACACATATGTCAGGTACATACTGCAACACATATGTCAGGTACATACGGCAACACATATGTCAGGTACATACGGCAACCAGATGTCAGGTACATACGGCAACACATATGTCAGGTACATACGGCAACACATATGTCAGGTACATACGGCGACACATATGTCAGGTACATACGCCAACACATATGTCAGGTACATACGCCAACACATATGTCAGGTACATACGGCAACACATATGTCAGGTACATACGCCAACACATGTGTCAGGTACATACGCCGACACATATGTCAGGTACATACGCCAACACATATGTCAGGTACATACGCCTGCACATATGTCAGGTACATACGCCAACACATATGTCAGGTACATACGCCAACATATATGTCAGGAACGTGTCCAAATGTCACGAGAAAATACATTCAAACAAGAAATGTCGCTATTTAAGAACATTACAACCCTACCGTGTCTTGAAAAAGTACGTTCAATTACAACACGACATACTTTGGCTAAGTGTACTATGTGTGTTGTCCAGTTGCTCAGGGCAAGCCGGTCATTGTGACGGACACGAACCTTGTGGAGGTGAGGTCGGGTCTGGGTTTGAATCTTACATGTGGCACTGGTGGGGTGCCGGTGCTCTACTTCAAGTGGCTGGTGGATGGAGAAGTCATCTTCCAAGACAATCGCGGGGTGAATATCAACAGCAGTGTTCTCTATCTGACCAACATCCGGCACGACAAGAACTACACGTGTGTCGCTGTAGGTGCGAGGGAAAACGCCGAGGTAGCCTTCCAGGTGGTCGTCGTTGGAGGTACGTATAGATGACAGCTTGATAATTATGCACCGGATCTCTGGCAAACAGATAATAATACGAGACATCAGTGGTATATTCATGATTAAACGTGACAGCGGTAGATTGATAATTACATGTAACGGCCAGATCGACAGACAGGCAGAGACTGTATATTCGGTATTGGAGTTTTTCAACAGTCTGAAATATTGTTATTTTCTTCAAGCTTTATCGGGAACAATTTCTTTCTTTCGATAAAATCCCACGTGACAGCAGATCGATAATAACCTGACCAAATGGATGGAGTGAAAGTTAGGGATGGATGGTGGTGATGCCGCATATAATCTGAATGTATTTAAAATATCCCTGGTGAATCCGCAACTGATAGCCTTGTTTTGTCCAGAACCGTTCATTGCTAAAGAAACAACACTTACAATTCCTCAACTTTCATAATGGTGACATATGAGCATAACATAACCCTGAGAGTAGTCAGGTTATTGTTATAGTGCTTCCCTTCTATCCCACGATAATCCTGTACTAAAGATCCCTTTGTAGTGGTGGTTACGTTTTGACTGGTGGACTCTTCTGCAGGAGAAAGTAATCCCAACAAGCCCATAATTGTCACACACCCCACGGACGTCTACGCCTTCGCGAAGCAGCCAGCGACACTTGACTGTCACGCTGAAGGCGATCCTGCCCCTATCATCACGTGGTACAAGGACGGGAAGAAAGTCCAGACGACTAGGGAAGATCCCCTCTCCACCAAGGTCGTTCTCCTGGGAGGAAAACTCTTCTTCCTTCGTGTCTTCCATAATGAAAAGGTGTCTGACGCTGGCGTCTACTACTGCAATGCCACCAACGCCTTCGGCAGCACTATCAGCAAATACGCCACCTTACAGATAGCCGGTATGTGCTTTGAATATTACCAGATGCCCTGTATTTCTTTCATACGCACGTTTGCTAATGGCTCAAACAAAAAATATTCATGCGATTGTGATGCATTTGATACAGGTGTTTTGGACATTACGACTCTTTCGGCGACTGTTTTAAGATTATTTACGATTAAATAACGATTGTAAATTCTTGGACAAATTTGTTTTTTAAATATATACTTCTTCATGGAACCCAGGTTCTGTTCCACGCAGTGTAAATGGTTTGAAGCTCATTTCTGGTGTCCCCTGATGTGATTGATGTGATATACTGGCAGACTAAGTACCCAGGACCCATTGACATGACTGGTGACAGCGGTTTTTAATAACATTCATTCACTAACAAGATGTGAATGTCGTGGTTACTAGTGGTGGTCCGATTAATTGAAATAATCGAAGATTGGTTGTAGTGACAAAACGACCAAGCAATCGATCACAATTTCTCATAATCGAACACAAACAATTCCGGAACACTTGTTTTCATTAACAATATTTTTCACTTGGTTGGTTTTGTCTGTTACATTTCGTAAGCACTACAAGCTCGTTTCAAGTCATGAATTTATCATAAAGATTCCAAGAAATTTATGTTCCTAACATACGACTAGTATGTTAGGAACATAAATTTCTTGGAATCCTTTAAAGATGTGAAATTTTGCCAAAAAACCCCAAAGAACTACTTGTTTTTTACCTTATTTTTATGTGCATTAACAATTTTTTTAATGATGCTAACCAATTATTTTCGATGATTGATCGGTAGTAATGAACCAATCATCAATTATGAGATTTTAACCAATTCCCAACACTAGTGGTTACAACTCGACTAGACGTCAGAATACCGGGATTATATTTCTCTTGGATCGTTTGTTTCAGCTGTACCACGAATCACCACCCAACCAAAGCCAGTGAAGATCAGGCGAGGGGGGAGTGTGAACTTGACGTGCACGGGAGAGGGGCCACCTCAGCCGCTGATAACATGGCGCTTAAACAACAAGGCCTTGCGGGGTGCCGCTTCAAAGGCCGGAAGTAACGTACTGATTCTGCGCAAAGTGCAGAGGTCTGCCAACTACACTTGCGTGGCCCATAATACAGTAGGCAGAACACAGGCAGTGTTTCCGGTGTGGGTTGGAGGCTACGAAGGTAAATAACCTTGGCTACGTATTTATCAAAAATAGACTAATGCACTCAGTCTCTATTTGTTTCATATGTTCTAACTGGCAGAATGCACTGTACTTGTCCATAGGCCCATGATCTGAGGTGAGGAAAGGTGAAATGTGGTGTCAAGGTCGTGTGCAGGATTATTGTCTATGTGCATCAAAGTGCACCCACGCATGCGTAGATGTGTGTGTGTGTGTTTGTGTGTGTGTTGTGTTGTGTTGTGTGTGTCTAGATGCTTTCGAAAAGGTAGGATTGGAATATCTCCCTGCTTTAACAATCATTCGTAACGAAAACAGTTTGAAAGATGTCCACGTTCATTTTGTGGAGTAGACCAAGAGGACTAGATGCTTTCCTTTATTTAAAATGTGCCAAATTAGCTATGTGAGGATCCGCCAAATGACCCGATTTCTACTGTGTCTTGAATATGATACTTATTTTGTCAGCGTGATGCTCATGCTGATGTGTTTCAACGTGATGGAAAACGTCTCTCCGGACTTTAATCCTGATTCATGCTGACATATATATAATATATTGTTCATTTGTAAAACTTCCAAAACTAGACATACCTGTAAATATAACCAAATGATTTTGTATACTTGGAAATAAGTGCATTTAAATTAATACCAACAATATTCAAAACGTCATAAAATCGGCTTTATATTACTGGAATAATATTGCGGCGCTAAACAGCTAACAAAACAAAACAACAACCAAAAAGACGCCGACATGTGTGCACGTACGTCACTGAAACACTGACGTACAGTCTCCCCTTATCTGTTTCAAGAGAAACAGTCCACATTATGTTGGCATCGAGCACTTTTCCTCTACCAGCGCTGCACAGCTATCGCTCGTTTATAATCGATGGCGCTGTCATTGTGCAAGCCTGGGTTATAGAGATTACTCCACGAGTGTGTCAGAAATCATTTAACGAGTGGTTCCAAAACGTATCTAACGCGCGAAATGCCGGTGTCGCTTATTGAGATTCGATACAGTGGTCGCCATCGGAAGATTGTTTGAATATCTTGCGGGATCTACACATGTGTAAATGGTTACTTTCAATGTGGAAATTCATTGCAGATCCCGTTCCAGCTCATAAAAAAGTTGACCATTTTGCTTTTCCTTTATCAATGTGACTATCATCTTCAGAAGTAGCATCACGCGATCTTCATCATAACATGATACATGAGATAAGGTTTCAGTTACACTCATATTTTTCAAAGATTCAAACAATAATCGTCCTCGCCTGTCGGTACCTGTTCATTCATTTCTGCAAACTTTTCAGAGCCGAGTAAGAAAGCAAAGGTTAAGGCGATCAGAGTTGTTCCTGGGTCGTTCGTAAATCTGACCTGCGTGACAGAAGATCCACACAACACCATATTTTCATGGTCAACCGATGGCGAGGACATTCCCGTGTTCGGAGCTATTCTCACGCTACCCAATGTACAGAAATCGGTCAACTACACGTGCAGGGCGGAGAGCCCAAACAGGAGGTCGGAAGCGACCTTTATGGTTATCATGGAGGCGGAACATGGTGAGTGACATTTTTCTTGCTTACAAATATATGGACGGCTTAAGACTTTGCTTTTAATGATGTCATGGAAGACATGGGGATATATGTTTAAATGTACGTCCTCTGATTGCAGCTCTTGTTATCGGGGGGACGGAATATGTTGAAGAGGGGGACACGATGTCACTCACCTGTAATGCCACTGGGGAATATGCTGACGTCAGCAATCTGGAGTGGTTTAAGGACGGGTCCCGAATAGATGCCGAATCTGACCCTGAGATCCACATCTACAAAGTTCGACTCCGCGATCACGATCTCCTGACCAGCCGACTTACCATTATTCGTAGTCGGAAGAAGGACACGGGGGTGTACGCCTGTCGAACTCCGAACGGCGGCATGCTGCGGAGTATGGACGTGTTTGTTTTCAGAGGTACCCGGAACTCTTGCACATATTGTAGTGTTCTTTCTGCAACGTAATTGTATACAAATGATACAAAATAGTATGATGATGCGAAACTGGGGGGCACTTGATGCCTGAACGATGACACATGTCTATAAAGTCAGCGAGCCAGCAACTCATGCTTTTTGTAAGAGGTGACTCACTGGATTGGGTGGTATGGCTCGCTGACTTGGTTGACATGTGTCATTGTATAACAATTACGTAGGTCGATGCTAATGATGTTGTTCACTGGAGTGTCTTGTGCAGACACGATTATTCACAGACCGCAGCTATACAACTGGAATATTGCTGAGTGTAACAAACAAACAAACATCTGTAGGATACCAGCCAAAGTCGCTGTGTGTCACCTGTCCATGAAGTCCTTGAAAGGCATTTACAAGTTGAAAGGAAGCAACATGCATACATGAGTGTCATGTATTTGTCATCTGTCCTTGTTCAGAGTCGTATGTTCGTAATCTGTGCTGTTGTTTCACGTGCTGAGAATTTGTTGTCAGTAAGCCACAACTGAAATAATATTTGGATGAGCCATTTTTAACAAAGATTCGGCTTCATCAATATTCCACATTTAACATCGCGAGCGCAATAACTCCCATACAGGTAAAGCGTATAAAGAATATGCATTGATGGTTTATCTCTTTACATCATTAAACATTTAATTTTATGATTTTATGACATAGTTCGATTTTACACCTGATCTTCCCTAAAGCGCCACGAAATCATTTTGCTTTCTTTAATTCAGAATGGAAGCAGTTAAATACGTAGACTGATAATTATAAGAGAGATGTGTTTACTATAAACATAGATACTTCCAGAGTTTTCAAACTTTCTTTATGTATCAGATGATGTCACACCCCACGTGAAAGAAGTGCGTGTTGTCAAGGGAGACTACGTAAACTTGACCTGTGTGACTCCGGGTTCAAGGACGAGTATGTACGTGTGGCAGAAAGATGGCGTTTACATCAAAGGTCAAACAGAGTCATACTTTTCTCTGAACAAGATTCAGAAGTCTGCTAATTACACTTGCATCTCCCAAGGAACGGCAGGTGCATCCAAGGCAACGTTCAAAGTCATCGTGGAAGGTAGGGCAGGTAAGTACTCTCACTAATACACACACGAACCAAACAATGTGTGTATCACACACACGCACCAAACAATGTGTGTATCACGACATCCTCATGCCGTAAGCTCTAAACTAGGGTGTTAACATATGTCTTAGTTATCATTGAAAGAATACACAATTGCAATTGTGTTTAGAAAAAAATAAACAAACAAAAGGCTGATGTAGAAAACCAAACCATGATGTTTGACCAAAATGAAAGGACGTGTGTGTACACGTTAACTGCGGCGTAGACGTTTCGGGTTATGTTCACTGGGTAAATGTATTCTTTGTGGTTTCAAATAAAATAAAAACATACAACATTGAGGCTTGTTACGAATAATGTCTGTTTGTGTGCAGGCGTGACAATAAGCGGGCCTCAGTCTGTCGTTGTGGGTGCTGCCGTCAGACTCATCTGCAACGCTACAGGCAGAACGTCTGCGCCCAGTGACGTCGTGTGGCTCAAAGATGGAGAGGAGCTCCACGAGTCGGAGACCGTCATCAAGGGCAGGCTAAGCGGCCCAGATCACCTGACACTATATGCATTCCTAGAAGTGATCAACAGCCGCACAACAGACAGCGGAACATACATCTGTCAGAGCACGCTTGGGGATTCATCCACCTTTCAGGTCAAGGTCAGAGAAGGTGATTCATTGTGGAGGCTCACCAAAATACAACCATGTAGATTTTAAAACCCGTTGTTTTTTTAAGTATCAGCTAATTGTCTGTACATTCTATTCTTAAGTATGATATTTATGACTACCATTTACCTTCTGTCAACGACCGGAAGATGAAGTGCCTATTTGCTGAAATGGCGAAAAGTTCGATTCCCCACTCTTCTGCAATATGTGAGGCGTGAAGCCCATTCCTGGTGTACTCGCCGTATTGTTGCTGGAATACAGCTAAACGCGGCGTAAAACTGTTCTCACTCACTTGAAGTGGTCATCAAATACCTAGGCACTTACCTGGATAAGTAGATTCAAATTTGCGTTTCACGTCACTCCCCAGCCTCGGCAACATTTCCGTGCTATTCTGACATCTTTATACCGACGTACTTCACCAATCATGACGTCACTGTTTTGTGTCAGGTAGGGTTCTGTTCAACTTAATGGTCACGAAATGTGGAATCTATTTCTTATAGAGGCTCTATGAACATACTTTCACCCGATTTTGCCAACGATATATTCACCCGAAGCATTGAAAATGCATACAATGATTAAGATTTAAATAATTATAGAAAGGCATGTAAAGATGACTGCTCTTATACAGTGCCTAAAGCGAAAGGCCGGCCCGGTACGAGGATAACGGTACCGCCGAAGGACAAGAGCGTTGAAGATGGAGCCGTTGCTAGATTCTACTGCGGGTGAGTGCACAGTGTTAAAGTAGGCCAAGAATACACTAGTGTATTGGCAACTCAGAGGTTCAGATGAACGCCGTTATGTCGAACTCGAATTTAAAGACGATGCCTTGTTTTCATTTATTTTTTGAGTAAAAAAATGCCACGATTAAGCTGAATGTGTATCTCATCCATACGTACGTACGTTACGTACGTCATGACGTAACTATCCGTGATGCGTTATCCTACCTACATAGTACAGCTGTGTTCAATTCATCATGAACTAAAGTAAAATACAATACACCTAAATTTTGCTTGTCCACGTGAAGATCCAGGCGAGAACCCCTCAAAGAAACGTACGTAGGCGATTAACGGGATCGCACTGTAAGCTTAATTGGTCATTATGATCCACTTGAGAAGACCAATGCTCGTGATGTCAATCCCGGGGGTTGTCCAGTCCGGATTCGATATTTACACTACACTGTCGTGTGGATTGAACGCATGTTGATTGTAGCGTTAATCAGACGTACAAGCGATCTTGCATAGATAGCTTAAGGTATTAGTGTTTCGTTTAATGAATAACTTGAAGAGGCGATGGGTTCTTTCGAGGAAGTCACAGTATGCTTTTCAGTCTATGAAAGTACATTATAGATTCAAAATTTGATGAAAGTGAACATTCTAATATGCCTGTAAAACATAATCTACAGCGCCACGGGCTCTATTGCACTGTCTGTACACTGGGAGACGCAGGGACGGAGGATATACAGTAGGCGTCGCTTCACCGTGGCTGGAGACAAGGATGAGTCAGTCCTGGAGATCGACCCTGTGATACTAGGCGAGGACGACGGGCAATTTGCTTGTATAGCGGATGACGTCGACGGGCCAACGCAGTCCCATTTCGCCAGGCTCACCGTCTACGATCATACCAGTGAGTTGGAATCGACAAAGCGAATTAGGCCCCTGTAAAAATAGGTTAAGCATTCCTTTAGTCTTATAAATTCCTTTTTCTATTTCAAACAAAAATCTTTTCACGTATTCCCGATTCTGATCGAGCCGATACTATTTCTGACCTATGGTCTAAGCCCATTAAGATAGTTTACCATTCAGCCGTTTGAACATGAATACCGTTTCAGACACAAAATTCTGTAGAGTATAGTAAAGCTCAAACCGATCAGTCCTATGTTTAACCTCTATTTTATAAGTCCATCCTTTTAGTCTTTTCCTATGACCTGGTACAGGTATCGAGCCACCTACCTTACGTTCTCCAGGCAAACGCTCTATCCACTATATCACGGGAGAGGTCTTAAGTGTTGCAGAAATGATACGTTTTTCTGTTTTTCTTTTAATTTATTACAAACGTGTGTATTAAACGTTTATTCGAAAGGGAAATACTTTAGAAAGCTGCATAAAACTTGATCTCACTTTCTAACCTTTCAACAGCTGTCCCGTTCGACTTACCCGCCATCACGGAGCAACCTCGACTGCGGGCGGTAGAGCGAGGACGGACAACTGTGTTCCATTGTGAGGCTTTAGGAACGAAAAACGCCACCATACACTGGTACAAGGACAAATTCCCCATCTCCACCGGCGGGCGGTACACGGTATTACCTGGAGGTGTGTGTAGGTGTAATGTAACAAAATGGGTCATCAGTTATCTTGTAGTCGAAGATGGGATGGCGGTATTGGGTGTACGTATTGTCCCCAATCACGTTGTTGATATGTTACTTTCAGATGCCATCAACTCTCACCCTTCACAGTCTGTTCATCCCAGAGCTTCTGGTCCATTTGTTCTGTTCCAGAAGAAAATGTGTTTTTGATAAGAAGTATTAATGTCGGGAATTGTTAGGGCAGATTATCTTTTTCGGTGAACGCGTCATCAGTCATGGGCTCTGTCGCTATTGCAACATAAAGGTCTTGTCCAATATGTGTACACGTAGTTTTGTTTGAACATCCAATGAAGAGTCATATTTTGAACACAGTAACTAGCACATGGACATCAAGTCCAGACCCGGATGCTACAGACACGTACGAATACAAGTTCTATATATTATAGTTATCTGAAAGATGTGCTGGGTGCAGTACCGTTCGGACTTAAAGGGTTTGGATGGTATGCATGGATATACTAAGATACTTTTCACTTGTGATCATATTGGTGAACGTTGCTGTTTAATGTACCAAATGCACTACGGTAGGTTCTGTCTACAGATCAGAGGAGCACCCTGAACGTGTCCGGAGTAGAGATGGAGGACGAGGGGGTGTACCAGTGCTCCGTGGAGAACCAGGCAGGCATCACATATTCCCAAGAAGCCAGTCTCTATGTCAGGGGTAAGGTCACCTGTTTCATCTTTTTTCATGTGGTATTATTGTTGAAAATGGCATGGTTCGTTGATTTCGGATAAGTATTCCAAGCTTGTCAGTTGGATAAGAAACAAGCCATAACGTACCTTCGGATCGGCCGTGTCTGTCTCTTATATCGAGAAAATCAGCTTCCAGAGACTGTCCGATCATTGGACCTCTCGAAAGGTGAAGAACAACCAGTAACTCTGATCAACTCGTTCAGGACCTTTGGTCGCCGCTTAGCTTCTTGCAACGGCAATTCATTTTATCAGCGCTTCATCATCTGCTGCCAAGGACAATCATTATGTTTCGTGTACCAAAATACACGGACCCTCGAGCCTACCAGAGTAACTTCCTTTAACCGTGCCAGGGTTCGCTTTCATGTGTTCGAATCCTGTAACAATTCATTGGTCTATCAGCACTGATAGCACTGACGCTGGCTTCTTCTGTGAAGTCTAGTTTTGAAGTACTTGAAATAATCTTAAATTTACTAAAACCATCGTAACCAATCAACCATTTTGTTACATCCCATTTCCATGACGTAACAACCTGCTTACACTGTAATATGGAAGGTATATAGCTATTAAATGGATGATTTATTTACAGATGAGTGATAGTTTGTTTTATACTTTCACAGGACGACAGTATCCACCACACTTTACGAAGTCCGCAGAGAATAAACGCGTGCGCATTGGTGATGACGTCACTATGGTGTGCACAGCGGGTGGTGCACCTGTACCACTGGTACGATGGATTAATAATGGCCGTCCTATTAACGGGGCGGGTCCAGCCAACGGGCGTGACGTCATACGGTTGACAAACGTTCAGGAGTCCACTAATATAGTGTGTACAGCAGAGAATCTGCTAGGCAACATCGAATATACAGCCCGGGTGATTGTGGAGGACCCTGAGGGTGAGATGATGAAGATGAGGACTCTGCTCTTTCGTGTTGAGTCAAACTGATATTGCTTATGTGTGTGTGTGTGTAAAAGTAAGACGGTATGAGATATTGAGAACCATTGTAAAACCTTGTGAGATAAGTTGAGATATTGCACAATATTGTTATATAGTGAGGCATAGTTACATATTGTGAGATGTCGTGGAAACATTTAGCGAGATAATGAGTTTATAGTGAGATATTGTGAAATTAATATCGTTTGAGATATTATCGGAAACATCTAAAGCTTGTGTCAGAAATAATGATATAGTATCAGGAATTTTTGAGATACAAGATGGAGTCAGACAAGGCTGTGCATTGAGCCCCGTTATATTTTCTTTTTTCATAAATGAATTGGTCACGTAGATCGAGAATAATTATACACACGGCGTACAATTACATCCGGATATCTTCCAACTATTTCTTTTGCTGATAACATTGTTTTCTTATCAAGTTCCTACATACTTTTGTGTGATCTCAGTATGAATTCATTTTTCAAAAATATTTGATGGAAAAATATATCCTATTATTTTATATCGCGCAGATATTTGGTGATTAAAAATATGGAACTTGGAAAATTAGAAATGGTACATTTGAATGCCTGTAAAAGGTTTTTTGGATGTTAAACAAAACACTCCAAATATCATGATCTGTGGAGAATGTGGTTAGTTTCCTATATATGCATACTCTTACTGTAAGGTAATTCGGTATTGGATAACGTTATTACACGTGCCAACCTATCGATTACAAAGAAATGTTATAATGTGATGCTATTATATGATAGAAATGGACATAAAAAACTGGGCGACTGATATAAAACAACTATTTGTTTCTACTGTATTTGGAGATATTTGGCACAACCCAGAATTTGGAATATATCCGGAATTCATCAAATCATTACTCAAAGACTAAAAGATATGTATTTTACAAACTAGCAAGAAACATCATCTATTTCAAGCAAATGTGACACTTACCTAATGTTTAAAAATAATATCCATTCTGAAATCTATCTATCATGCTTAAATGTAAAAAGGTAAAGAGTAAGTTTAACACGATTCCGCATGAACTTTAATTGAGAAAGGTACTTATGTAAATATGAATAGAGAACATAGAACTTGTCAGTTATGTAATTCAAGTGCAAATGAAGATGAGTATAATTATTTTCTTCGTTTATACCCTAACTACAGTAATTTTCGAAGCAAATATGCAAGAGAAAATAATTATGTCCACCCAAACAGGCTTTGTTTTCAAAACTGTTCAAATACGAAAGAAATTGAAAACCAGTCCATGTACATTTTCTGTGCATTTGTACATAGAAAGCGTAAATACTATTGTTCCTTGAACGTGTATGAAGAACATGTATACTGGACAAAAATAGGTAGGGATATATGTAAATTTTGAAATAATGAATAATGATCTATTTATTCATTGACACACCGATAAAATATCAATCATGAAAATACCAATATCCCTAACTTATTTTGTCCAGTATATATTGAGTACTCTAGGCCTGAGACCTTTTGAGTACCGGAATAAAGATTGAATTGAATGAGAAACACCTGTACATGTTGAGGTTCTGTGGTATAGAGATACTATATTGAGATGTTGTGAGTGAGTGAGTGAGTTAGTGAGTATAGTTTAACGCCGCTTTTAGCAATATTCCAGCAATATCACGACGGGGGATAAGATGTTGTGAGACATGGTGAGGTATTGTGAGTTGTTGTGAGATATTGTGAGGTATTGTGAGATTAGTGTTGTTGGAGTAAACTGTTGGACTGATATGCATAATAAAGTAAAACAAATGTTGCTTTGCTTTGACTGCCATTTAACCTGACTGAGCAGAATCCCTATTTAGATGTGATGAAGAAAATATGTTGTGCTAACTAGACAGAAAGTTTCAGATTATTCCTGGTTTCCGTTTACTAGCGGTACCCGCGGCACCGGGACAGCCTAACGTCACCAACGTCGGTCAGGATCAGGCGACGTTGAGCTGGGTGGACGCCAACAAGGAGGGTATCCCCCCAATCACCGTCTACATCGTTCACGTCAGGTATTGTCGTACGACATGCTTATATACCAGAAATGCATATACTTACATGATGCGACCCGTGAAGGTCCGGGTTAGAACCTTCAGTAATCCATGCTTGTCGTAAGAGGCGACTAACTGTATTGGGTGGTCAGGCTCGCTGACTTGGTTGACACATGTCATTGGTTCCCATTTGCGCAGATCGATGCTCCGGCTGTTGATCACTGGATTGTCTGGTCCAGACTCGATTATTAAAAGACAGCTGCCATATAGCTGGAATATTGCTGAGTGCGGCGTAAAACTAAACTCACTCACTCACTGTACAGATATGTACGTTGCCGTTTAGTATTCTGGATACTGATATTCCTAAGAAAAGAGAAGAGCTATATTCTGTCAATTCTTTGACTACTCGCTGATATTCATAGGGATAGAAATTAATACAACATACCTATAAAGCTACAGATTGATTTCACGATGCCTATACCCCTGAACTACTCACTGTTATATCTGACCTGTTCTCAGGAAGTGCAACAGGGACTGGCACGAGAACACAGCTCGTGACTTCATCGTAACTGGCAATATTCAGGAGGTTGTGGTCAGCGGCCTCAAGCCCGGAACCTGCTTCCAGGTCAGACTGACTGCTAAAACTTCAAGGAGCAGGACCTCAGAGTGAGAAGTTCTACACCCGGAAGAAAGGTAAGGATAAGTGAAGAGTATTAAGTCGAAACTGAAGATTTTTAAGATTTGGACCTGAAGGGGAACCGAGTGAGGTGAGGTGAGTTCTTTAACGTCGTGTAAGAATAGGTTCGGATATGACGACGTGCAGAGTATGTATGTGTAGTCGACTAGAACTGAATGGTTTTAAGATTTGATACCATGCCGCAGTGACAACATGTAAACCTTCTACATAACTCCGTACCGACCAGTCCTTGGTTGACAAAATGTCGAGAGCGCCAGGCAGGGACCAAGTGGATGACGTCTTTTGGTAAGACGCGGTCGGGGATCGAACCCGCGACCTTCCGCTCTCCGGGCGGACGTCATGTTTTTCTACATAAGTATTTTTGGTTGCCAAATTCATTCTAAGTGAATGAAATAGGGGACCGGGGACAGTTCAATTTCCTATTTCTAGTTTCACGTGCTGCTCCTCAGAACGTTAAGGCGAGGCTGGTGAGGCGCGATGGAGGTCTGGTTAGCTGGACCCAACCTGCCATAGTCGGCGATCTAGAAGCACTGCAGGTAAGCTGGAACATGTTGTAGTCAACGATCCAGGAGTATTGCAACCTGTTGTAGTCGAAGCTGGAAACCTGTTGTGGCCCAGCCACAGTCTGAAGCTCTGCAAGGTTTAGAAGCACTGGTAAGCTGCAACCTGTTGTAGTCGACGATCCAGAAGCTCTGCAGGTGAGCTGGAACCTGCCATAGTCGACGATCTAGAAGCACTACAGGTAAGCTGGAACCTGCCATAGTCGACGATCTAGATGTACTGCAGGTAAGCTGGAACCCATTGTGGTCGACTATTTAGAAGCACTTCAGGTAAGCTGCAACCTGTTGTAGTCGACGATCCAAAAGCACTGCAGGTGAGCTGGAACCTGCCATAGTCGACGATCTAGAAGCACTACAGGTAAGCTGCAACCTGTTGTAGTCGACGATCCAAAAGCTCTGCAGGTGAGCTGGAACCTGTTGTAGTCGACGATCTAGAAGCACTACAGGTAGGCTGGAACCTGTTGTAGTCGACGATCTAGAAGCACTGCAGGTAAGCTGCAACCTGTTGTAGTCGACGATCTAAAAGCACTACAGGTAAGCTGGAACCTGCCATAGTCGACGATCTAGAAGCACTGCAGGTAAGCTGGAACCTGCCATAGTCGACGATCTAGAAGCTCTGCAGGTAAGCTGGAACCTGTTGTAGTCGACGATCAAGAAACACTGGACGTAAGCTGGAACCTGTTGTAGTCGATGAGGTTGAAACACCACAGGTAAACTGTAACCAGCTTGTGACGATGGTGTAGAGGCACTACAGGCACCTCGAACCTGCCACAAAACCTTACTTGGACGCACAAAAGGTAAACTTTCCGATGTTGGCAAATGTTTTGTAACTCACCGCAGTACGCAAACCTCCAGCCGTTGTCGTAAGTTCCCATTGTGGAATCACTCAGTAATTCTCCTTTGTTCAAGGAATACCGGGTCCTCTATACCATCAACCCTTCCGCACCTGTCCAGTACTGGAACAACATGTCTGTACCACGTGACCAGACGTCAGCTATCATCCGGGGTCTGAGTCAGTTCGCTACATACACCATTAGGATACAGGCAGCTTACAACGACGGTCAGAGAATTGACTCCAGCGACATCGAGTTGTTCATCAAGGACTCTTCAGCTGATGGTGGGAAGGCAGTTAATCACACTAATATTCTGTTAATGTCTCCCGATCTCAGTGAAGTCATATCTACGTTCTCCTTACCAATCAACAAAGATTTTAGAACATTGTATCACGGGTCACGGCAGGACCTTTTGTCCGACCAAACAGAGTCGCCTTCCAGGGTCTCCGTTAACAAAGCACTAAGGTGATCGTAAGTCACCGAGGTAACCTTAATGCGATATTAAAGAATGGGAGTTAAAGGTTAAACTTAGTAAAGATTGCTTCGTGAAAGGAGCGACAGATCGAGAAAGTAGCTGTCGGTGTATGTTTTCTAACGATGCGAACATAAACAAGGGGGTATTCCCAACGACACTTACGGGCTGTACGATTCTTTCTCTCAAATCGATCGTCCATCAAACAGCATAAACATTGGAAACGGAAGAGACCTTCCATCGCCCGCAGGGAGTCTTGTCATTCAACTTTGTCCGTCTATAGGACTATAAGATTTTCTTTTGTTCAGTTGTCAAAAGTTTGTTTTCAAAGCCTAGTCTGGAACGAAAGTCTTGAAATTGGTGCCGTAAAGCTCAAGAGCTGGTTTCTGATTTGCTTCGACCACTGGTTTCTGACTGTTTCGACCACTTGTGTATTATTTCATTGGTCAGCCTATGTCCGCGAAAGATCGTTCTGTTATGGGATATCCCAAGATCTCTCTGCTGCAGTAGCGAGCACAAAGATCTGATGAAATCTGTTAATGAAATATTAATCTCTACCTTCTATGGAACTATTTCATTCCATGCTGTGTCGTAGAAGTTCCTGTCAGAATCAAGCTTTACCCTTCAGGTTTTACATTTAGTGCGTAAACAGGTTGTCTGCGCCACCCAAGAAGAGAGGAGTTACTCATACCAACGCTGATAAAACCTGAATATAGAACAGAGATACAGAGATTTCTTGCGCTTTTTCTCCAGATGCAACCTGATAGAGAGCGCTCAGTTATTTATTATATTTATGTGGAAGTCATAGAAGTTCATTTAAAGGTCGTTAGGGTAAAGCTAGAACATCGCCCCAAGTGTCAACACAACTGGTAAGTCGTCTTTCTTCACCGTAATGGTGTGAACAGTGTGGGCACTGGGCCTCTATTGAGATCTATGTTGGTTGTTACAGAGATCCAACTCCGTGTGAGCAACCTGGAGGGTGAGATCCTCAGCCCGTCTAGCGTCAAGATCTACTGGAAGAACCCAGTGAGCGTCGAGCCGACGGAAGGGTACGAGTTGGCCATCGACGACGGCAAGGGTTACCAGGAGCAGATCCGCATTACAGGGGCAGCTAACTCCTACGTCCTTAGCGGGCTGACTCCAGGGGGAGGTTATATCGTCAGGATCGCTCGGAGGTCCAAATACGGTGTAGGACCGCTAACCGATCCTCTGAGCGTCAGACTCCCTAGCTTCAGTAAGCATTGACACATTACTTGGATAATTCGATATTAAAGCCTTGTTACTAGTTAGACTGTTGATCTTAGTGCACTCGATTACCTATTTCGGAAAAACGACGTAGTCCTACGAATGATGTTACATTTTACAAAGACAAAGAAAATGGTCCTAGTTCTTTTATGACTTTGTTAAAAATGGTTTATCCATTTCCAACAAGGGATCGAGTTGGTTAACATAGGAGCCCATAGATTTCATTCATGAAGCATAGGATGGCATTATCAATTACCCACTGCCAGTGGTCTTCTAGAAGAATTAAGATAGTACCTTTCTTACCTCTGAACCGTTCGCCGTTATGACACGATATTAGCCTCTTCCGGTAATGTCTTAACATTTACGTCCGACTTAACTGTTAGTATTGACACACGACAATGAACACTCTTGCAGTTTTGGAGGCACCTGTTATAACTGATTTGTCTCCCTTGAACTCGACTGCAATCAAGGTCACGTGGGAAAGTCCTTCTTCAGAATCTCTTCTGCTGGAGTTGATTCAGGGGTTTGTTGTGTCCGTGGACAACCAGCGCCGTCGTGAAAGTCGGCGAGTGAGTGTGGAACGCGACGACCGTCAGGCGGTGGTGGAGGGGCTGACACCAGACACCCGGTACAGCGTCAGGGTGTCTGGCATCACCGATCAGGGGGACGGGCCCAGCTCCGACCCGCTCTTTATTTCCACCAAGTCCAGAGGTGAGTGACAGAGTGTAACTTTACGCCGTTCAGGAAATATTGAACGAACATCACGGGGACATGTAACGAATTAAGTCAGGAGCAGGGGAACTATGGTTCCTAATATGAGCATTTGCCACGCGGACGATGTTACACAGTGACCCAGATCCCACATTGTAAGCACATGATAACCTTTTCTGTTTTACTACGAACACAACATCCTCTCAGAATGTTTTTCAGGGTATCTTTTATATTTGTGAATATGACACGACAAAAGAAAATACATACCTAGTGGTACAGTTGAGCCAATGTTGGGCCAATGCGGCGCATTGTAGATTGTATACTACCCACGGAGGTGAGAATAAGAACATCTTCTCTGATCCATTAACCAGTCTCATAATTCAGTGACTTGTACATACGTTGCAAATCGAGCTATGCACTTAAGAATGCGGCTATCCTTCTAGCTATATGAAAATTCTGGAGAATTATTTAGAGTCCCTTTTCAGACTCTCAGGCCCCTATTCTGGTGGAAGTCGCCGGCGTCAACGGAACATCCCTCTTCATCCGATGGAGACCTTCGCCCTTCGCCGGTAATGTGAACCCTACAGGTTACTTCGTGTACATCGAGAAGGTCAAAGCCGGTCCCTGGGACTCCACTGTACGCTACATCATGGACGTCCGACCCGGCACCAACCATGAGATTGTCATGGGACAACTCTCCCGGGAACGAAGTACAGTGTCGAGGTGGCTTGGTACAACAACGAAGGGGAGGGACCTAAGAGTGAACCGATGACAGGGTCCACTACAGGGGAGGTAGTGACCACGCCCATCCCTGACTTCCTTCCCGGGCTCCATACCTAGAAGACGTGACGGCTATGAATGCCACGTCTATCCTGGTCACATGGTGGCCCCCAGATGAGGTGATGCCAGAAGGGGAGATCAAAGGGTATTACGTGTACATTGAGCGCTCGACTGGCTCAAGCTGGGTGCCAGAGTCCCGTTACCAAACCAACATACCTCCAGAGGGACAGCTGTTTATAATAAGTTCTCTAAAACCAAAGTCCAGGTATCGAGTTACTGTCAGCGCATATTCTGAGAATGGTGAAGGGTTAAAGAGCGATCAGTTAGTGGTGGAGACACCGAGGATCGACGAGAACATGGTCAATCAGAAACAATCGGGATCAGTGTCTCTTCCAAGTCCTCCAGCATTGGATGAAGTCAGCGCCATCAACGTCACTTCCGTTTCGGTCAAGTGGCGACCTTCCCGAGCGGACATTGGGTCTAACGCCGGCAACATTCACGGCTACTACCTGTATGTGGAAGTGTTAAATAAAGGAAAGTGGAAGTCGGAGTTTAAATTTGAGACCAACGCCCTTCCATCAGGTCAACAGTTGACAATAAATGGTTTGGAAAGGAACCGGAAGTACCGTATCAGGGTGTCAGGATTTGGTCCAGCTGGCGAAGGACTTCAAAGCGAAGCTATGACAACGGAGACAACAGAGAGTGAGTTTAAATTTGTGTCTTAGACATAGGGAAGTTTGTTTATAGTTAGTTTATTGTATTTCATATTTTCAGGTTAATGCACAAACACATGATCCTCGTGATATGGTAATTTGTGTATCCTATTCGCACGAGGTGTAATTGTACCAGGTATGTTTACCCAATACAGTATGATTACTCTTTATTGTACTTATTATATTATATCTAGGGTACTTGCTCTCTCTTCAAGTCATTTCCTAATATATGTTCTACCATCTTTTTCCAGATGTAGTTCGTGGCAGGACAGAAGAAAGGTAAATGTTTCCCAAATTGATCATGACGTCGATGTAAACGTGTCAAACATTGACATACACAGATAGGAAACATTGACATATACAGATAAACATTGACATAAACAGACAGGAAACATTGACATAAACAGGCAGGAAACATCGACATAAACAGATAGGAAACATTGACATAAACAGATAGGAAACATTGACATAAACAGATAGGAATCTATGCATCTCAGTTGATTTTGTATTATGTTTGATTTTCATTCCATTTTAGCAATATTCCAACAATATTAGGGTAGGCACAACAGATATAAGACTCACAGATTGCTAAAGGTGTGATTGATGGTTAAATAGACATAATCAAATTTGCCAGCAGTTGTTTCAGTTTCAATCACATAAAAAGTAGAATGAGTATATCAATTTCCCCCCTCACTTTGTAAGACATGTTTCGGAAGTCTGTTGATCCCAGAACTTGTTCGGATAAACACATGATTAGATTATTTATGTTATTTATGTGGAGAAATAACAAAACAAAAACCTTTATACTGAATATTTAGCCCAACAACTATGACTTCGTTCGAACAAATGTTGTCTGAGAACGCACAGGCGTGCCGTGCCGAGACCAGTCAAACCGTGCCGACACCAGTCAAACCGAGTGAACAAGAACATACGTAGTTATGTCCCGTGTTCTTCTTCTTTCAGAGAACAGCCACAGTCCACGGGCTTCTGCCAAATATATCTGGGTACCATCTGCTCACGGTTTTTGCGTAATAAGAGCGTCTTCGTCAAATCCAGGTTCGAGCAGTCAACGAAGGAAGACAGGGTCAAAGGTCAGATATGGCATGGGTTCCAGCAGATTTGGATCTTGGTCTCTGACATACACCTATTTTTCAGAAAGCACGGTTCCTAAATTATAAACATAAAGTGGCATTTAAAAGTGATAGACGTAAAGGCGAGAATTATGGATGTCTTTAAACTTGTAAGGCCAACTACGATTCTAGAATCTGTTTGTTTGTTTGTTGTTTACCTATGCACTCAGCAATATTCCAGCTATATGGCGGCGGCCTGTAAATGATCGAGTCCGGACTGGACAATCCAGTGAAGAACATCATGAGCATCGATCGATTGTTATACGATGACATGTGTTAACCAAGTCAGCAAGACTGACAACCCGACCCTGCTAGTCGCCTCGAACATGGGTTACTGAAGACCATTCTGTGAAGTTTTATGCCAGATAAAACTTTTGTTACATGTGACCACTTTCTAAAAGGTTAACGGTTTGTATTCATAGCTTCGGCGGTGGGAACCGAGTTGCCCGGAAACCACTTTACGGAAGCCGCGGTGGCTGAGTGGGTTAGATCGCTTACTGTGTGTACTGGCGATTAGCTGCGTGACCTTTAGGGTTTAGGTTCAAATCCCGGGTGGGACCCAACCGACAAAAGTACTCGAATCTGAATTTGTACTGAGAATGTGTAATCACAAATATGACATGTGTTATAATGTATTTGTCCGTTCGAAGCGCCTGACAATACTTTTGCTCCAAGCGCCTGGCAACATCTCTATGTTCCAAGCACATAACATTACATACGATGTTTGTTCAAAGCGCTTGATGTTATAACCTCAGTCAGTCGATCAGCATTCCAGTTGTATTCCCTACAACCTGTAGCATATTCCACCTAAGCTGTCCGTAGGGTGTATCGCCAGAAGTAGGTTTAACGTCAGACACTATTTCCAGATAACCCTCCTGGAGGTATTTAGCGATAGTTAATTAGTTGTATCATTAGCCCTATGTGTACTTTTGGTTCCAGCTGCAGTGACATACATTGGTAACCGTCTGAGCCAAAGATGTGCCAACCTGGCCTTGCAGACGGTGTGCTACACAGCCTTCCCCCCATGTACAGCGGTCGGCAACGTCCCCACCCCTCGGGATGTCTGCAGGGAGGACTGCTACTCCATGGACTCACAGTGCAGGGATGAGATGGCTCTTATCAGAGCCAACCCACTTGTTGGTAGGTATCGGGACCTATCTTGTCAGAGCCAAAACATTCTTTGGTAGGTATTGGGACGTCTCCTCAGAGCCAATCCGATGGTTGGTGGGGTTCGGGAAACATCTCGTTGAGCCAATCCGCTCGTTGGTAGGTATTTGGACCATCTGGTCAGAACCAATTCACTGGTTGGTAGGTATCGGACCATCTCATCAGAGCCAACCAACTTGTGTGTAGGCATCAGGAACTATCTCATCAGAACCAACATATTCTTTGGAGTGTATTAGGATAAATGTTGTCAGGGGTAACCCATTTGTTAGTAGGCGTCAGAACGAACGATTTCTGTGGTATGGGATTCATTCATAATGGGGCTATGAATCTTTCAGCCACAACTTGTATCCCCATGGGCAGTGGAAGAATCAGCGAATAATCAATGGCGTGAACTGTACAACGCAGAGGTGCAGGGTTGTACGTTATGTTGTTTACCCCCAGGTGAGCAGCTGGTCCCTCCGTGCAGTTCTCTCAGGACAAGCAGTGTCTCCTCAGGGGGCACCTGTGTGCGGGTCATCACAGGACTAGCCCCTGGCATCGGAGCCAGAGGGGGAGATTCCAGAAACGTAGGTATGGTAAATAAGTATCCAACTTCTTTAACTCGTATGCATTGCACAATGCATTATGCACGTCAGTGTACATCCCGTTAATACACAAGAAACCTGGGTATGGTGAATCGGTATCCATCTCCTTTAACAATACCTGATTGCATTACACCCAGCTCAACTCGTATGCATTGTACATGTTGTATACATTTCTGTCTATTACACTCGTATACATTAAATAGTGAGTTAAATGGCAGTGCAAAGCAACAGTTGTTTTACTTTATTTGCATATCATTCAACGCCGCAATCTCAGCAATAGTCCAGCTATATCTCACAACATCTCAGGCGGTCTGTCTCACAATAATCGCCGTGTCTGGACCGTTAAACTATACTCACAATCCACTGATCAACAGTATGAGCATCGATCTGCGCAATTGGGAACCGATGATCATGTCCAGTGATCAACCAATCTGTTTGGGAACCGATGACATGTGAGTCAGCAAGCCTGACCACCCGATCCCGTTAGTCACCTCTTACGACAAGCATGGGTTACTGAAGATCAATATTCTAACCCGGACCTTCACGGGTTGCGTATACATTATACACAGAAACCTGGGCATGGTACATCGGTATCCAACTTCCTCAACTCGTGTACATTATACGTCGGATACACATTTCAAACAGGTCGCTCTTCCAAGTTGACATATCACCCACATTCGACTAGTCATATATATTATTTGGCAACGCTTTTTGTATTCAAATTTGAGATAAAGAAATTTATTATTTTGCTCTTAATGCTAGTGAACAAAGAGTTAAGAAGCCTGTTAGGTTAAGATCGTTTTTATATGACGTGTGATGCCGATACGTGGCATGGCGTGTTTCAGATCTTCATACAAAGATGTGTCCTCTAGTCTAGTACGTCCAACACGTTTGCATGAATACAATACACATTAAACTTTGTATGCAGTTTCCAGATTGACATATCTGTTGATGTTTTTTCGCAGCAGTTCCGTCCAGCCCCCAGCGTCTGGCGGTGAACCCAGTATCCCGCTCCCCCTACCGCGTCCGCCTCGTCTGGATGGCACCCCAACAGCCTAACGGCGACATCACCGGCTACGAGGTTGCGTGGTCCACTGACGCAGGGGACACATATAAGAGGCTACTGTCAGCAAACCAGCTTGTGTTCGAGACCGAGGCCTTGTGTGAGTGTGAACCATCTACTCAGCTGTAGCAGAGTAGTGCAGAAATAACTAGCAAACAAACAAAAGGATAGAGGTGCATTCTCCAAATTATAATATCAAAATACAATTATTTTGATCGTTGTTACGTTAAATAAACGCATCCAAACGTGTACATGGAACCATGGCACAGTGACCAGAATTCATTAAGATAACATGTACATGTGTATAAGTGACGAGATTTGTGTCTTCGCTCAGACCTTTGCAGATCAGGGATTATAGTCCGGATATACCAATCATCAGCGGACCTTTCTCTATATAGCTCTCTTTTCTAGGCCTCGCCTGCCATGGGAAGCACCTGCTTAACAAACTGATACAGGACGAGCTATCATTACACGTAACTGCAGACAACAATTTGGCCTTTGTAAATTTCGATGCAAGAATGACAATCAGGGCACCTATACAAGTCGAGTGAACTCTATGTGGTCTCTTTCAGATCGAGGCTTGCGCTACGAGTTTGAAGTCAGAGCTATTAACCCTGCTGGAATGAGCGAGCCAATCAGAGCAGCGCTTGACATTCCTGAAGGAGGTAATATCACGTGATTATATTTCTATGTTAGGTCCTCGACGGTGCACGACGTCTGGTGCAATATCTCAAAATCGATACCGTAAAATCGATACCGTAAGTGAATCTAAAGGCGAGAACTTAAATCAATACCTTTTAGAAGACCTCAAAGTAAGGTCACAGTGAAACCTTAAAGGATCCAAAAACATGGTGAGATCTTAAGAGAGAACATCAAATTGGATATTAAAGTAAAGACCTCACTCCAAGTATACCCTTAACGTTAGATCTCAAGTGAGACCCCAAGGTGAGATTTTCAGGTTAGACCTATTGTGAAACATCACAGGCAGCCCACAAGCTTGGATCTTAGGGTGAGTCTTCTAGGTGTGATCTGAAGTGAGACCCACCGGTACAAAACTGAGGCCTTATGAATGATATAACTTTAATATTTTACCAACTTCATTTCTAGCCTAGGATGACATTTCCATACAGAAAACTTTCGTTGATCTGAAAACAGCAAACTCACGTATGGTTTGAAAATACGAAGAAACACTGCCGGTATGTAGAAACAATGACCAGCGGATCCATGCTCGGGGAGGGGACACCACTCATATTTTCAGTCTCATAACCACAGTGCCTCCCATGCCCTCCACAACCTCTGATATATACAATAGTATGTATGTACATACAATCATGAATGTTTCAGTTCCGGTGGGCGCCCCCCAGAACGTGGAGGGTTCGGCTAACGCTACTGCCATAAAGCTGTCCTGGGACCCCCCCAGCCGCGCTCTCCTCAACGGCCGGCTGGCTGAGTACGTGGTGACGGTGTACCTGGCCGACAGCCCCTCCTCGGACCAGACCTTCCGGGTAGGCAACCCAGGCTTGGTCCTACAGAACGTGGAGCCCAGAACAGAATACGTATTCCAGATCGCTGCCAGGACTAGGGCGGGGGTGGGGCCATGGTCTCCCAGAGTATCCGTTCGAACAGGCTGACGGTTCAAGGGAAATAACTTCCTTGGAAAGACATTCTCAAGCGATATATGATATATGTGTATATAGCTGGGGATTGGGCTAGAAATTGTCATGAATTTCTAGTCAAGAGTGGTTAGAAAAGGTTGATGGATTAAGGAATTTCACTTCCATGAAAAGACATTCCCATGACCGAATGCTGCAAGTGTGTATATGGGTAGTTTTAGAAATCGTCATGATTTTAGAAGTCAGAACTAAGATTTAGAGAGAATTAGAATGTAAAATGAATTATGTTTTTACAAGCGTAACATTTAATGTACATAAATGTGTAACTGTTCGAACATAATAAACAAACATCCTGTAATTCAGAATTGTTGATATTTATGAAAGTGTCCGGTAAATAAACGTTTCTGAAGAAACAACCTACTGGGCTGCCATATCTCCATGGCAGCTGTCATTCTAAGGGAGACCTCTCGCCATCTGGTCCCCCTGTTCTCGGCTCAGGCGACATTGCAGCGACAACCTTTCTCAGATGGATATGTAAGACTTGGGTAATTGCGGTGGTTGCGTAACAATTACGTCTCACGGTAAAAGGGATGGGCAAGTGTGTCTATTGCGCGAAGTGCTCCAGTCAAAGATGACACAACACAAAAAGACAGTAATAATATGTATTGAAATAAAAGGGTCTTGGTTTACAGAGGTGCAAGTTCCGACTGCACAGTCCAGGTGAAACCTAAAAAACAAGCTGGCTTGTTGTCACCTCGACAGTGCAGGCAGAAAGAGCCATTGTACAGATACAATAATGAAAATAAATAATAATCCGACTGATATGTAGGATGTGACGACAATACTTAATAGGGGCAACAATATTATTAAAGGACAAATAAATACAATATTGGTACAAAAGTATATGTGCATATATGCGCACACAATCCCAAAGAGTATTTACATAAATACCTTTAATTACATAACCCAAAGAATCGTCACACCCTCCTATCAGAGGATTTACATAGGGACCCCACCTGAGGTGAGGTGAAAGTCACATTAACTTTAAGGGCCAATGGGAAGTATAAAATACATATATATACACAAAGTGGGGCAATATTTATACCCAACACATTTGGAATATATGATACAGAAAACCGGTTGATTGATATACACAATAGCCACGACAGGACACCTGGCCTGTACGACACATGTGGCTAAGGGAAATGGGGTATGACTGCCTGTTGGATGATCATACTAGTCAATATGAGGCTAGCTCCAACAGAACGTCAATACACCCAGTAGGTACACCACTTGGGGCTACCCAGAATAAACACCTAATTGTAGTAAATAAATTGATAATATGTAATAACGGATATTACATGATTTATATTACTACAATTTGCAGGTATATTATTGGCCATATAATATAATACATTATATTATTATTGAATAAATTGTGACTTCACTTTCACATCAAGTGGGGAAACATACTAAAATATGATTGATATAGTTGCATGGTACTGGTAGTCAATGCTATGTTAAGATAACCATGAAGCAGACGACGGACCCTAGGTTTGTTTACATCCGGTGCAGCCATTTTGTAATGGAGCCGGACGGGAGCCGGAGAATGCCGAGGAGAGCCGAAGACAGCCCAGGCTGTGTGCTGCTCAGTGGAGAGAGGTCAGCACTGGTCAGTGAGCATGACCCCGTGATACTAATTGGTTCCAGCTGACACCGTGATACTCTAACTGAGCACATGGTTTGGAAACCGGGACAGTGATACAGCCACTTTTTAATTTAGATTAAAATGGCAAAAAGAGTTCTGTTGTTAGCAGCAACAAGTTGTAAATAAATGGAATTTTGAATTTAGCAATGAGCTAGAGACAATTTTGACTGGCAGGTCAAATAAGCAAATTAATGCTAAACAAACAAAGTACTTTACTAAAATGATTTTTTAGATGAAAATATATTACAATGAGTACATGTCATTTATTCTTGCCATCGAGTGCACGTTTGGACAGTCACAGATGAGTGACCTTTCGCCAGTTTGGCACAGCAAGAATAATTGATGACAGTGACTTAACAATTGTTTTTTAATTGTGATTTATCACAAATTAAATAGTACATTAATTTAAAAGCCGCAGATAATTACTTATCCTGCTAACAACATAACTATACATAGGAATTTAATACAGAAGACCCAGTTGCCATATGGAAGCATACTGGGGTTCTTACCTAAAAAACAAGCAAGCTGGCTTGTTGTCACCTCGACAGTGCAGGCAGAAAGAGGAAGATTTCAGGCTTGGGGATCCCACGCTCTCTCTTGCCCCTGTCATGTGACAACATAGCCCCTGGGGATTGGCTAAAACTGTTGCTATGGAACCCATAGCACCAGTGCCTTGAGCCCAGAACCCTATCAGATAACTGGTAAGGGCAGGATATTGGGTTACTTGTGCAAAAGACTGGGACAAAATATCCAGCCTTTACACTCTCCCCTTTAGGAAATTTTGTAACCCGGATTGAAATCGGTAAGATTCAAATACATGATTAAACAATAGCTTCGGGTGAACAATCATTCATAACCCTCTTGTATCACACATGTATGACCTGAGGAATACTTCTTCGTAAATGGATCCCAGGAAAGAACCTGGTGCTTCGTCGCTGGCGCTGGGATCTACGAGGAGCTTTCAGCGGCAGGTGATGATAACAGTCTCTTCACAGGGAGAGACTGGAGTGGCACCTCCGCAGCAACTGGATCACTTATAGCAGAGTCCACAGAGTTCTCAGATAGGTCTGGCTCACCACCAGATGATTCTACCAGATCACAAGGGGCGATGAGCGATGTATCCTCATTGTCCGGATCTTCAGGCAGCCTATCTTCTCTTTGATGTAGTTCTCCTGAGTCCCCACTCTCCATGGGTTCTGATGGAGCAGCTTCAGCTTCCACTGCAACCGTTTCCCAGGTGAGGGTCCTGCAGTGGTTGCCTCATTCTGCATACCGGGAACCACTTGGATTGCGGGACTTCCTCTACAGTAGGTTGTGAGTATATGCAGCGCCTGCTCTTGTGGTTCAAAGGTTGAGCCTCAGGGTTCAAGCTGCTAGTGGGTACAGCTCTAATAGGTTCAGGCTGTGGGTACCATACATTGACAGTGTGTAGTTCGTCTTCAGAGGATTCAAAGATGTCCTCCGGTTGTTGATTTCGGGTTCTGGATCTGGTAACAGGCCGCCTCTGACATTGGTTTCTTTCTGGTTCATCCATATCTAGGGAGCAATGAACCAACAGGAAGTAAGAGGTTGCGATGGTAAGTCTTAGAGGGCCCGTCTCCATTTTCTGGTCGAATCGACATAGACAGGCAGTTCACCTTGGTGGCGTTCAACAATGAAGACTCCCGACTTCCATCTGTCAGCGATCTTATGTTTTCCTTTGACCCCAATGTTACGGACAAGAACCGGTCACCTGGTTCCAATGCTGCTGCATGGGCCTTTCGGTCATAGTAGCCCTTGTTGCAGAATCGCTGACTTTTGGGCATTCTCCTGGCCACTTGGAATGCAAAATGGAGTCGGTTCCGCAGATCTTTGACATACTGTTGAAGGTCCTTTTGAAGTCCTGCTGTCAGGATCTGTTCCAAACACCATGTCTATTGGTAGGCGTGCATGACGGCCGAACATGAGGTGTATGGAGAGTAGCCTGTGGTGTCATGTACAATGCAGTTGTATGCATGGGCTAGAGGTCCAACATATTTTCTCCAGTCTTTCTTTTGGCTGTGGTTGAGAGTGCCGAGCATATCCAAGAGGGTACGATTCATCCTTTCGGTTACACCATTGCACCTTGGATTGTATGGTGACGTTCTTATTTTCTTGATGCCAGCCATATCGCACAACTTCTTGATAACTTTTGATTCGAAGTCCCGTCCTTGATCCGACAGTAGGTGCTGAGGGTAACCATAGTGACAGATGAGGTTTTCCCATAAAGCTTTGGCTACAGTGGTAGCTTTCTGATCCTTTGTTGGAACTGCCATTGCATACTTTGTGAAGTGGTCCGTGATCACCAGTACGTTTTCCTGTATGGGCAGCAGCAACATCGTTAGCCGCCAGAACAGGTGTGGGAGTTGTTGGATTTGGTTTGATGGATCCGGTGCTGGTCGTAGCTGATGGATGCTGTCGTAATAGCAGTTGGAACTCTTCCAGCATCTGCGACTTTATCGCCTCCATCATCAGGGCTGTCTTCCTGTCCAGGGCCTGATCTACTGCCCTGGCCACGACGTCTTCTAGAGAGGATCCTTCCCGAACCAAGTTCACTTTCATAACTTGATACTCCTCCTCTCTGATGAGTACAGTGTCCCCAAGCTTCAGAGGGACTTGAGGGCTCGTGAACTCCACGAGGTGCAGCTGATAAATAAAATCGAGCACCTGGAGAACCCGCACCTTCCCATAGCAAGGAGACAACTCCTCCTCAACCGACTCCGTTTTTGTTTCCTCCGGGAGCCCAATTATTCCAATTGATCGCTTTGGGTCAACTTTCATTGACAACATAGTGTCCAAGAGCTCAGAGTTCGTGAGCGAGGACATGTTGACAAAAATAGGAGATGAGGTTGAGGTACTGAGAATTCTTAGTTGACTAAGGCAACTAGGGTAGGAGTATAGATACAAAATTATGCCTTATGTGCCAATGAGTGTATATCTTTGACCGTTGAGGAGTACTATGAACGCTTGCGACACTTTGCCCCACGTTGGGCGCCAATGTAAGACTTGGGTAATTGCGGTGGTTGCGTAACAATTACGTCTCACGGTAAAAGGGATGGGCAAGTGTGTCTATTGCGCGAAGTGCTCCAGTCAAAGATGACACAACACAAAAAGACAGTAATAATATGTATTGAAATAAAAGGGTCTTGGTTTACAGAGGTGCAAGTTCCGACTGCACAGTCCAGGTGAAACCTAAAAAACAAGCTGGCTTGTTGTCACCTCGACAGTGCAGGCAGAAAGAGCCATTGTACAGATACAATAATGAAAATAAATAATAATCCGACTGATATGTAGGATGTGACGACAATACTTAATAGGGGCAACAATATTATTAAAGGACAAATAAATACAATATTGGTACAAAAGTATATGTGCATATATGCGCACACAATCCCAAAGAGTATTTACATAAATACCTTTAATTACATAACCCAAAAGAATCGTCACACCCCTCCTATCAGAGGATTTACATAGAGGCCCCACCTGAGGGTGAGGTGAAAGTCACATTAACTTTAAGGGCCAATGGGAAGTATAAAAATACATATATATACACAAAGTGGGGCAATATTTATACCCAACACATTTGGAATATATGATACAGAAAACCGGTTGATTGATATACACAATAGCCA